GATATGCAGTATGTTGTGTATCATGCTACCATCATTGCTGAAGGGCCAGAGGCTTATCAGGTTTGTTGTTTCTCTATTGCATTTGTTGATAATTAGCAGTAGTAAAAGGGTTTTGTATGACTCACATGCTAGTAAAATATTCTGTTTCGACCTCTCGTCTATCGATTCTATGATATTGTGTAATAGTGGGTCTTGAGCATTAAACCACTGACTAAGTTTCTCATTACTTTCATGTGAAATGTTTAGCTAAAAATTTTGATTCTATTTTGTAGGAATACTACATCAGGCACATAGATGGATCCCCAATTAGCTCAGAAGCAGAAAGGCAAAGGGTGATCAATTGCTTGGAAGCTGCAATCAAGAGAAGAACATCTGAGGTCTCATTCTTTAACCATGGTAGCTTCCCATGTTCTAGTTTTTCCATGTCCTTCATGTTTTGATTATAGGAATGAACTTCTCTGTGGCAGGGGATAAGATTGGAACTCTGTTGTGAAGACAGAGTTGGCCTTTTATCGGATGTGACTAGGATCTTCAGAGAAAATGGCCTCGCGGTGAGTCGAGCTGAGGTTACTACCAGAGGAGACCAAGCAGTGAATGCTTTCTATGTGACTGATGCGTCAGGGCACCCTTCAGTAAAGACTGAGACCATTGAAGCAGTGAGGAAAGAGATCGGTCTGGCAGTTCTTCGAGTGAAGGAGGAGGCTTACTCAAGCTCTCCACCTGCTCAAGAACTTGGCAAGTTCTCCCTCGGTAACCTCTTTCGAACGAGATCAGAGAAGTTCCTATATAACTTGGGCTTGATCAAGTCTTGTACTTGAGTCTTGAGTAGTTTAAGTAGGTTTTTACCTTTTTTAGGGTGCTGTAAATGGCTCTATGGTGAGTTTCTGGGAAGTGTAGGTGCAGTTACTAGATGTTCTCTGGGTCTTTTTTTCTTTTCTTTTTGGGGTCAATTGGTAGTTAATCTTGGTTCATAAGCCTCCAGAAATCACCTCTGTAAAGCTGGTTTTTCTTTCTGTTCTTTTGTAAATAGCTTTTCTATTGCTTTAGCCTACTTGGGTCCTAATGGGTCAACTGTAAATTGGACACAATCATTGTTTCAACTAGAGCAGAATGTTCATTAGTTCAATCTGCTGTGTTTTTCCCTACTCCTGAGAGATTGGGTGGAAATGTCCTGTGGCTAATAATGAAGTGCTTTAAAAAATAACTACTGAACTTTCGGCTCCCTAACAATCCAGTCAATTATTGCTTGAGCCTAAAATTTGGAATAATCTAATGTAATATCTATTCATGCGAGTTAACTTTTATTAATCTCGATGATTTGATGCACTAATCCAAATATTTCAGGACAAAAAATCTTGGCGATGATACACAAAGTGATTGTTTCTGTTTATTACAAACTGTAGTGCCAAGTTGGTCAAAAAAGGAAAGTTGTTTAAGAATAAAAGAAACAAGTTTCCACAAGTTGGCAAGATGATTGATGTTTTGTCTTTCCTACTATGATGGGCATAAGATTCCATGGTTCTTCCTGGTAAGTAAGGAAAGATCTAGATGAGATTCCCTTAACTAAAAACAGTTTAGGTCAAGTTCTTTTATTCATGAGGGCAAGGTTGTTAAACCCCTATCGAACCCTCCGGTTGGACCCGGTTCAATCCGAGTTGGACTTGAAAACGGCCTCCAGAAAACCCCCCGGTCTGACCCCTAAACAGGGAGAAGAAGAGAGGCAGAAGAGAGGAAAAGGAACGAAGGAAGGGAAATGGTAGGTGGATCATGGAGGTTAGGTAGATTTATTTTGTTGAAAATAAGTTTTTAATAGATATATGTAAGATAAATTTTATTTCACTCATTAAATTTTTAATTACTACATTATTTGTATATATATTTAGAAAACATCTAAAACGGCTCAAACCGGCCGGACCCCGATCAGACCATTAAACCTCAAACCCCTTGCTTGACCGGCTCAATGACTTAAACCGGTTTGACAACTTTGCATGAGGGGTATCATATCATATCATATCATATCATATCATATCATATCATATCAGAAGGACAAAGGGTTTCATTTCTGTTGGATTTGGCCTTTGGGAGCTGTGCTGTCTAATTTGCTGCTGTATATTCTTTGAGATTACAGTACAGTGAGTGAATGATTTTTATAGTACAATTTTTAACAGAGTTCAAAAGATTCTCTGGCTGTCTCAGTTTTTTACCAAGATCTCAGGAAGGGAGACAGGTTAAAAAGTTTACAGAAAGAAGACCCCAAAAAGATTCTTCCTTTGAGTGATCAGTGATGCAATCGACATACTATTTTTCTACCAGATGGGGTTGTATGTAATGTAAGTGTGGTGCTAACTGTTGTGGTTTGTACTTTTGACCTACTACCTTGAAGAAGCAAAGCTAAGTTGAGAATTGGCTATTCCCACTTTGCCATGTTGCTGTTCAGGACATTAATGGAGTTTCCCCCCTTCTTTCTGGAGCACTATTATGGGAAAATGGGGGATGGGGAGAGAGCCATCGACATTGACTTTCTTGTTGGGTTGCTCTAGATGGGAATTAGTTGAGAAGTTAGATAAGAAATAGTATTTCAAATTTTTTAATTTTTTGCTTTTGTTGAAGTGGGAATGAGTCATGCCTTGATCAGCTCAGCACAAAAGCACTATTATTATAAGCCACTAGAAAGTTGTTTTCTGCTTTTTGGTTATTAGGATTGGTCTTTTTCTTAAGAGGTTGTGAAGTACTCTTCCTTCCACTACAATGGTAGGTCGTCTATGTCGTGTTTGTTAAACTATAGCACATTACTCGGTGGTATCAGTGAAATCGAGAAGTTTTGAAGTGCTATTTCATATTAGGTTTAGATTTGAAGTGTGAGTTAGTTAGTTAGTTAGTTAAATCTTAATCTAGAGATTGCAATGTACTTTTTATCCGTCATCTTAGGCTTTTGGTTGTAATGCATAAATTAGTATTATTTCATTGTTAATTTCAACACGGTTTATAAAAAAAATTTACTATTATATTGAACCTTTGGATTTACAAATTGGATTATCGATGTATTTTTATAACTTTTAGTCGAATTCAAAATTTTGAGAATCTTTTATAGAAAAAGTCGCATATCTTATTATCGAGTTTGAACCTAGGATCCCCTTCCTTTTGCTTCCCATTTTTGTGTGGTTTTGGTATGTGTGGTCTGGGGTGGAGGAGAGCAATTGGTAAACTGTGGCAGAGCAAAAGGCAGGAATAAAAGGACTTGTTGGTTCTAAAGAGAGTGGCTGACACACAAAGATGGAATCAATTCTCTTATCAAAATAAGGAGCATGCAAAAGCCAAATGCATCAACCCAAGTTGTGTTTGTGGCCAATCTGGTCCTCTTTTGGATATGTTTTTGTTTGTTTACATCCAAAATCCCAACCAGTAATCACATGATAAGATCACAAGTCGCATACACTTGTTGTTCATTAGGGAAATAATCAGGTGTATAAATACAATAATTCACGTTCATTTTGTCGTTAATTTTTTTTCAGTGGAATCACATTTGACCACAACGAGCAATTCATCGAGCCTTTGCTTGATCTCATCGTCCTTTCATCCTATCATCAATGGTAGATGGTGTTGAGGAAAATAAGCATTTCCAAGGATGGTCAAAGTGTAGAAATTAGTTCTGGTTTTGTGCAAAGGGGATATATTTTGTTTCTGTTCTGTCTAGTTTTTGACAGGACAATCTTTGCTTAGAGTTCCCCAAAGGCCATGAGAGTTGTAAAGAAAAATTGGTTGCTGTCAATCAAATTATTTTGGGATGGATGGGTCGAAATCTTCTTTAAAAATATGTTTTTTTTTATCTCTCCAAATTGTCTGGGGAGTCTTTGACTGCTGTCTTGTCCATATACTATGAATAATTGTCATTAGGGGGTTAGGTTTTGTTTTTGTTCTGTCCGTTCTTTTGACAGGACAATCTTTGCTTAGATTTCCCAAATTATTGGTTGAGTGAAGTCTCTTGTCACGACAAAACATCTAAGGCGTGAATGAACTGGTCTTAGGTGTTCTGTCACCTAATGCCACAAGAGATCTTTTATCATCTTTATTTGGAACTAAAGTTGCAGCATCATGACTGTATGGCAAGTTTAGGTGACAGCAAACAGGGGTTGTTGTGCTACTAGCAGCAATGTTATGTGGGTTTAAGAGTTTTGAAAATGTATGCACGAGACTTTGAATCTTGAGTTCTATAGTTAATCAACATAAGAATATAGTTTGCGCCACAATCGCAGGCAAGGCTAGAGTTGTAGAAATTTAATCCATTGAAAATTTTGTATATCATCATTCTAATGGGCTCATGAACGAGGGCCGAGAATGTATAGGCAACATGAATAACAACCATCATAATAATCCAATGAATAGTCGTATGATAAGCGTACTCTAAACTTTCCTATCGAATCCAGCTTATTGACACAGTTCTACTAAGGAGATACAAACTTTTCGACAAATATACTCTCTTTCATTAATGTAAGTATTTATTATATTTTATGTAATAACGAACCTGTTATTCTCAATTAAGTTCATTATCTCAAATGTGCACTCTACGCGGGGACGATGTTATGAAAGTATTTATCAACCAACTAACTAAATTATCTTGAGTAAGTGCTCAAAAGGAATTATATCTTAACTGGTGTTGTAATTAAAGCTCCTTTAGTTTTTTAGTTCTTAAAAATGGATTTCATAATGATTTAAAATAAGTAGTTAAACTTTTAATTTGATAATAGATATAACCCGCTCACTTAAGCTCGCAGTGAGTGGAAAATAACACTGTAAACATATTGTTTGAAAGAATAAACAAAATATAATTGATAAGACATAACTGCAAAAGTAACATAAAAAATCACAAAGATATTGTGAGAGAGATTTATAGCAATCGACACTCATTGGCCAATGAGGCTATGGTATCAGAGGATGGGGCTCGGATAGAATAACAAAACCCTTTTTGTTGTTACTGTAACAATAAGGGTATAAGGGTAAAATTACAAGAAAATTAAAAAATAAAAGATAGAATAAAAAAGGAAGAAAAGCGTGTTTCTCTGTCTTTCTCTTCCGATCCCCAATCCTTCAGATCTCACTGTCTTCTGCCTTCGTTTCTTCTTTCTCCTAGCGCCGCCGCCGCCGTCGATCGATGCCAATCCAAATGACCAAGCACGGACGTCCCTGGAGAAGGTGGAAGCGGAGTGGCTGCGACGCATCTTGCCCGGCTCCGACGAGGGCACGTCGGTTTTGACACGAAAGTTCGTGGTGTCGGAGATAGCATCGGGGCTTGACGACGGATCTCTGCCGGCGGCGGCGGCGGCCCTTTCAGCCCTTTCGGCGTCGGCCTGGCGGCTGAATTCGGCGATGAGCTTGTCGTCCCACACCAGGCCGGAGGATCCCTGGCGGCGATACGACGTCGCGAATCTCTGAAGGCCGCCCAGCTCCATTTCTTCCTTCCTTTTTCTTCTTGCTCTGTGTCTGGTCTTCGACTTTCTCTCTCTTTCTCTCTTTCTCAGAGTAAGGGAAAGGGAAGACTTCCATTTCTATGAATTCGGTGAGATTTATATAAAACAGCCTTTGATCTTCTTGTGGCTTGCTCTGTGCCCTCCCAGTGCTTGGTAGGAATTGAAGGCCTTATTGCAAGTATGGCACTCAAATTTGCTGTCAATAAGACAATAACAACTTGTGAGTCCAAACCAGCATCTTCCTTGAGCGATTCTTGCTGCTGCCTCTTCTTCCCCTTCCCGCCATTAGTTGTTGTTTCTTCACACAATTCTGATTCCCTCGGAGTTTTTGATTCATTGACATTGCAGAGGGAGCTGAATTTGGGTGCAGATTCCGACAAGAGCGAATTGTTGTCAGAAGATTCGGCGGCAGCAGCAGGAGGAGAAGATGTAGAAGAGGAAGGCCCGTTATGGCGAACATCTCTGGAAGCAACATGAGGCATAAAGCAACCTCTTCTTGCTCTTCTAGGGTTTTTAAGCGCTAAAGGGATTGAAATGATTTTGTTTGGCAATGCACATTTACTTTAGATGTAGTAAGCCATACGATTTTTGCTTATAAATTGCTAGTATGGCTCATCTAAAAAACCAGTAATTGCTAGCATACCAATTATGTGTGAAAACATAATTAATTAAGAGAGAACTATGTAATTATGTATACGAACCTGGTAAGTATACACATTACTAATTATTGTTACTAATTCCATTCATCTAGTAAGAACGTCGGATAGAATAACAAACCTTACAAAGCATACCACAATTATTTCGAAAGCATACCAGAAACCTCCTAATGCATATCATAAATTGACTAAAACATACCAGAAACACGGTAAAACAAACCATAAATATTTCTAAAGCACACCAGAAACCCCCTAATACAAACCACAAACACGGTGAAGCAAACCAAAAATGTCCTAATGCAGACCACAAATATATTAAAACAAACCAGAAATCTCGCAAAGCAAACCACAAAAGTTTCGAAAGCACACCAGAAACTTCTTAATGCAAACCAGAAACCTCCTAATGCATACCACAAATCTCCTAAAACAAACCACAAAGCAAACCACAACATTTGTGAAAGCACACCAAAAACCTCCTAATGCAAACCACAAACATAGTAAATCAAACCACAAAAAAACAAACCATAAACGTCCTAATGCAAACCACAAATATATTAAAACAAACCAGAAACCTCACAATGCAAACCACAAAGTTTTTGAAAACAAACCAGAAACTTCTCAATGCAAACCACAAACACAATAAAACAAACCATAAAAGGCATAAAAAAATATGAGAAACCAAACCATAAATCTCACAATGCAGACCATAACATCCGGTGGTCGTTGACCGTTGACCGTTGACCGAACTTCGGTGACCGTCAGTGAGCAGATTCCGACGCCGATAGGCATATTCCGGCCCCGGTGACTAGATTCCGACGCCGGTAAGCATATTCCGACTCCGGTAAGCATATTCCGGCCACAAAATAGCATATTCCGGCGACAAAAAACATATTCCGGTGACCGGCGACCATTTTCCGGCGACCGGTGGCAGAATTCCGACGACCAAATTTTTGGGCAGAAAATAAAAAAATATTTTATTTTTTTATTTTTTTATTTTTATTTAAATAGATTTTTCATAATGACAATTATACCCCTGCTTTGATTTTACACTAGGTCAACTCATCTAATAAAAAGTCATCACAATCCTAACTTCCTATTGGTTGGGGACTAGTGTTGTTACAATAACAACACAATAGGTGTTGTTACAATAACCGGTCCCCAGAGGATGATACACATACTTTTTGAGCAAAAAAATGCTCGCTTTAGAGACCAACAATTATTAATTAAAAAATTTATGAAACTTTGTAGTCCAACAAACAAAAAGATAAACTCAAAATTTATCCTAAACTCTCAATTGAGATGGAAAATACGAGAAATAGAGAATATGAAAAATCGACGAAAGCATAAAAGAAAGACGGAGAAAGTAATAACTAATTTCATCGGTTAGAATACCACTTCCATCCTATTTAATAGGAAATGAGAGATTTTTCCCTTATCATCTCATGTTCAACCTCGAGAGTTGGAATAAAAAAACAAATATGAACAAAATGTCAGTTTGAGCACATGAAAAGCGGTAAAAGAAAACAAACGAAAGAAAAATATATTAAGTATTAACATTTGGGCTTAACTATGGTTTTTCTAATAAGAATAGGGGATTACATCTTTTGAGATACTTTTGGAGTTACACTTTTCTTTATATTTGGCAGACAAGAAGGAGAGGAAATGGGAGAATTGAAATGGATAGGTTGGAGCCACTTGCGTTATAGGCCAGCCGGACGTCGAAGAAGAGATTGTCGGAGAACGGAGAAAGCCAGAGAAAAGAACTGTAGGAAGAAATAGGTGTCGTAACTGCCGGACGTCGAAGAAGAGATTGTTTCCTTCCATACAAAAGGCACCATTGTAGTCCACATACACACGTCCTGCCGAATAACAAAGAACAGTCCATGCAAGAAATTTTCATATGGTGTTTACCCCATCTTCCCAGCTTGTCTTTGGTGGTAATTGCATGATCAGCCATGAAATCAGGCTAAATCAAGGACAACTCTGGCCACATATTATTTTGTATCATGGTACTCCTGGATATTGAATCCTTACCAAGTTCCATACAGTTTTCACAGAGTACTTCTTCTGCAACAGAATCCCACAACACTTCATCACCCTTTTTACTGAGTCTTATACCAACAGTTAGCTCTTAATTTAAGAATTCTTCTCCATGCCCATGAACTACTTGATATCACTTTCACTGACCAGAGATCCCCATCCCCACACATGTATTCCTTCATCCAGGCTACCCATATTGCTCCAGACTCCATTAAAAACAACCAGAGCACCCACACAAGCAACATTCCATGTCATTAAGTTTTTTATTCTCAAACCTCCCTCTGAAAAAATCCCAAAGTACACTAGTTTTTAAAAAAAATTCTCAAAATACATAAGTTATAATTTTTTCCCCAAAACTACACATGTTTGGCATTCACCGTTTTTGACAAACGCAGTGAATATAATCACCGCGTTTTTCAAAAACGGTGAACATTTCACCGTTTTAAAATAAAACGATGACGTGTTCACCGTCTTTGTATAAAACGGTGAAGTGTTCACCGCGTTTAACAAAAACGGTGAAGATATCACCGTTTAAGTTAAAAGCGGTGAAAACGTCACCGTCTTAGGGCAAAGCAGGGAACATCTTCACCGCCTCAGGCTAAGGCGGTGATTATTTCCCACGTTTTCCAACCCTGGTAGGTGAAAATTAGGTCACAACTACCTAATGTTCACCATTTGAGATAAACGCGGTGATGTTGTTCACCATTTGAAACAAAGGCGGTGAATGCTGGCCGATTTTCCTTTAAATACCACTCCCACCAGCAATTGTAAAAACGTAATCCCTTCTCCCTCTTCAAATTTCAGCAGCTAAAACCGAGCAACATACACAGAACAAGAATTTTCGGTATGATTTAATTTTCGTATTAATTCCTAATGGTTGTTTTTAGTAGTTATATTGTTATGTTATGAATTACTTATTGTAGCAAATATGGCCGATGTTATGAATTACTGGAATTATGCTAATAGTTACTTATTGTAAATTGTAGATATGGGTAAATTCAAGAAGTTTCAGCTTATTATTCGGTGGAAAGGAAGGGTTACAAACTCTGACTTAGGGATTGATTATGAGGACGGTGTATCCACTATGCTGAAAATTGAGTCGCGATTCAATTTTCAAGAACTTTGTGATATTTGTGCAGACATGGTTTGTACGAGCGGACAGACGAGACTTGGTAAAATTAGTTACCGGTATCCATGTATGAGTACTGGTGGGCTTGTGTACCAAAAAGTTGTCATAAACGATGATGACGCGGTTACGATGATGTTACAGTTCATAAGCGATAACGGGATGCGGCAAGCAGAGGTGTATGTTGAGACCGAGGCGATCGGTGAAACTCATTCTCATCAGTATTCTTATGATGATGGTTTTGCAGGAGGGTACGGATGGGGTGGTAGTTCGAGCAACTACGAAGGAGGTGGTTATACAGGAGGTTACGGAGAGGGTGGTAGTTCAATCAACTACGGTGGAGGTAGTAGTGCAGGATGGGTGCCATCGGAAGAATACTCGCAACATGATCAACCTGCCGATGGCGTTCAATGGCCTGCTTGGGGGCCTGAGTGGGCTGAAATCGAGAATACCATTCGAGCAAGGCGTTCTTCACATGAGCGAGAAGACGATGTTGGTGATGGTGGTCATGTTGATCCTTCTAGGACGAGCTATCCATTCGACTCTAGCGACGATTATACTGAGGAAGATTTGAGATCAGTGAGCGATGAGGAAGATACTGATGATAACGACGATGAGACGGTATTTTGTGAGGCGCCGACGCCATACTACACACAGGTTCCACCTCAATTTTTACATAGTTAGATGATACCCCCGACTTTGTCCCTATGCCAGTGTATAATCCGACGGCCAATTTGGAGGTGGGTATGGCGTTCTCATCGAAGGACGCTGTGTAGGATGCCTTTACCGAAGATGCCTTGAGGCGCAATTTCGAGTGCAAGGTAAAATATTCTGACAGTAAACAATTACATGTCATATGTAAGAATGATGCAGAGGGCTGTACGTGGCAACTGCGGGCTGCAAATATGAAGAGAAAGGGTGCCTGGTTGATTCAAAAAGCTGAGACCAACCACACTTGCTCCTCGTCCATACGTTCCCAGGATCACAGACAACTTAAAGCAAAGAAAATTGGGAGAACTATTTAACACCTTATCAAAGCACAACCAGATATAAAGGTCAAAGCTATCATGGCCGAGGTGAAGGATCGACATTCTTACACGATAAGGTACAAAAAAGCATGGCATGGAAAGCAGAAAGTCATGGCTGAGGTGTACGGTGATTGGGAGGATTCGTATGCTTTACTCCCTAGACTTATGGCCGCAATGGAGGAGTCCAACCCTGGGACTGTTTTCGTGCCAATATACAACAATGTATACACTGAGGATCAAGTTCGAGTACATGATAAGTTGATGTTTCACCGTCTTTTTTGGGCTTTCAAACCATGCATTGACGGGTTTGCGTTCTGCATACCGGTTATTCAGGTATTTTAATACATGTTTACTATTTGAAATGTTTGTATTCTTGCAGACCAAGTAAATTTCATACTAATTATTTCCTAATATTTAATTAGATTAATGGAACCTTCCTTACTGGGAAGTACAGAGGAACTCTTCTCATTGCCACTGACGTTGATGGAAACAGGAGGATTTTCCCGCTGGCATTTGCAATAGGGGAAGGGGAGAACAACTTAAGTTGGGCATGGTTCTTTGACCAACTACACGAACACGTGACACAGCGAGAGAGTTACGATTATATCCGATCGACACGCGGGGATTAGGAATGCCATGGGTGGTTTTCCTAACGAGTGGGGATGGACATGGCGCTGGTGTATTCGACACTGGCTCGCCAATTTCCAACACAAATTTGGAAAGAAGAAAGACATCAAAAATCAATTATGGCATGCAGGTACTAATGTCCTTTAATGCGAGTTAACTATGTGTTTAATAATTTGTTGTTTATCATGTATTGACCATTTTTATATTGTTCACCTTGCAGCGGTTGCACATCATCCAAAAAAGTACGAGCAGAAGATGAAGACGACCCGTCAGACCCACCGAGCTGGAGCAGTATGGGCTGAAGGTCAAGAGTTGGCCATGTGGACGTTTCAAGAAGTTTTGCGCTCATCCATGGTTGGAGCACTATCGAGGGTGTGTTTGGCGTGTTCCAAACCATCAACTTAAGCAATCCACATAATAAATCAAAATTAATTAAACCTTAAAACAAAATAATTAGACTAACGAGGTAGATTAGGATGACTTACCAACGAACCCATCATAGCACCTTGCTTTGACACCCATCTATTGGTGAACTTCCGATACCACTGCATGTACCCATCGTGGTAGCCCATCGGTCTCGTCTCCGGCATCCCTTGGACCACCCATGTCCCTCTATTCTCCCAGATGTTGATGTAGAACTGATGCTTTAGGAGCCAATTCTTTGCCGCGTGTCTGAGGTCGATGGCATGGAGCTCCTTGAAACCTTGAGGCAGGGTTTGTGGAATTGGTTGCTCCATTCGATATTGCCTCAAGGATTGATTGGGTAGGTGCCACTCCACGATGTGCCAGCAGATCAATGGCACCTTGCACAACCACGTCTCGTGATCCAGAGGGTGTCTAAGATGATGCAGTTCGACCACTTCACGTGGATATGGATCCCAAGTAACCTATATTCATTCAAATGATGCAATTAGCGACCATTTACATTGAAAAAATTTAACTTGTGAAAATATGATAAAGCATGATTACCTGATTCCACCAAGGCTTATCTAACTCAGAACGATAAAACAGTAACGAATGCTCAGGTTGATGGTCATTCGTATTTGTTCCTATCCACCTTGTAAGTAAAAGCATGGAATCATTTTAAATTAGGCTAAGTACTGAATAAATTCAATTTAAATCTAGCTAAGCATGGAATAATTTTAAATTAGGCTAAGTACGGAATAAATTCAATTTAAATCTAGCTAAGAATGGAATAAATTTAAATTAGGCTAAGTACGGATTAAATTCAATTTAAATCTAGCTAAGCATGAAATAAATCTAAATTAGGCTAAGTACAGAATACATGCAATTTAAATCTAGCTAAGCATGGAATAAATTTAAATTAGACTAAGTATGGAATACATGCAATTTAAATCTAGCTAAGCATGGAATAATTTTAAATTAGGCTAAGTACGGAATAAACTTACTTGACACCATAGGGGGGATTTTGCAGAAAGTGTAGCTCATCATCGGCTCTCCGGTATGGACGTGGGTCTAGAGGTGCGAACATTGGAAGATGCTCCCATACCCACAGCTGTAGGATGAACATCGCAGCACCAACTTCTTTTGCTCCCACCTTCGAGCAAGTGCACAACTCCCGGTATACGCCAGCTAACACGGCCGATCCCCAACTCTTTTCCCCGATTGCGTCCCAATCACCAAGGAGCAAGTCCAACCATATGCCTTGAATCCACCGGTTTGACTTGTCGGGGAACAGATCCACCCACCAAACCAACGAGGTAGATGCGTGCATAGCGTTCCACTTGATCTTCCGGAGTCTCGTCATTGATTTCAACCTCATTTTGGATGTGAGTTACCAGCCACGGGACCGACACTTGTCCTGCATTCAACGGTGGATGCCCCCGTCCTTGAATTGGTGTGGTGGTCGGCATGTCAAAGCCCAAACGATCATGAATGAGTGGCCCCTAGCCTCCTTCGGGTTTGATAGTGGAACTAATGATGGCATCTCCAGAAATTGGCAGCCCGGTAAGGATTGCCACGTCTTTGAGGGTGATCGTCATTTTCCCCTCCGGAAGGTGGAACGTATGGGTTTCGGGACGGCATCGCTCCGCCATTGCCGTAAGCAGATCATTGTCGATTTCGATCCGCATGAAATGGCGCAACATACCCAACCCGGTCCTCTCTATCTAGGGCGCCAACCGTGGATGTCAAGCGGGCAAGTTTGTGGTCCCTTTATGAACGACGAGAATAAGTGATTCCTTCAAAAAAATAGAAAAAACATCAACTTATTAGTTTAAATAAAGCAAAATAAAACCTTAGAAAATAATAAAATAAAATAAATCATCAAATTACCGGATTGTTATCCCAAATAGCACGGGAGCGATGAGCTTCTTGATCGGTTAAGAGTCTCATATCTCTTGGCCCATAATGGATATACAATCGAGGATCGTATATCTCGGCACCCATCTATAAAAAAGTAATGAAATCATAGATTGTTTTGATAAAAAAAATCACAAAATCAAATTGTTTCGATTAAAAATAAAAACACAAAAAAAAAAACAAAAAACCTACACGAAGAGCCTCTTCGTCCATTTTTTGGCAGAAGCCGGACACAGGTTCGACGGGTTCGGGTTTGAAAGGGACGGGAGCTTAGCGGGAAGGGGGCTTTAGGGTCAAACTCTAGTAATTCTTTCTGATGTGGAAGATCGGACTTAGCCGCAACCACAGAGCATACTTAGAACGAGACTAGAGCGGATAAATTGAGGGAGAAAGAATTGTAATTGTTGTGGTGCGATTTGTAAGTGGGGGGAAGGGTTCTATTTATAGTGGGGGGAAGGGGGGGAAGGGTTCTGCCGAAAATTTAATTGGGGAAGCATCACCGTGTTCGACGAAGACGGTGAATACACCGCCTTTATCGAAGACGGTGAAAGGGGCGACGTGGCTTGCTGTGAGGCGTCGGATCTGGGAAGAAAACCACGATCCGCGCCTCACCGCATCTGACGGCCACGGTGAAAGGAAAAGCGACGCGGATCGCTGACGCAAACAAACACGGGGTATTCATCGTTTTTGTCTAACGCGGTGAATACACCGCATTTGTCCACGTCAGTGATCCGCGTCGCTTCATCATGGCCTACAAAAACGGTTTAATATACACCGCGTTTCAGTAAAACGGTGATTTGTTCACCGTTTGCCTCTAAACGGTGATTGAATCGCTCGTTGTTCACCGTGTTAGAGAAGAACGGTGAATACGTCACCGTTTTTTTTTAAACGGTGAAATATTCACCGTCTTTGTCAAACGCGGTGATATACTCTTCACTGCGTTTGTCAAAAACGGTGAATGGCAAACATGTGTATTTTGGGAAATTTTTTTATAACTTATGTATTTTGGGAAATTTTTTTAAGAACTTATGTATTTTGGGAATTTTTTTTAAGTGTATAGTGGGATTTTTTCCACCTCCCTCCTCCTTTGGCTTTACAAACTTCATCACCATCCCATAGGAAACTAGAGGAGACTTGATAGATTGCAGTCAAGGTTGTCAAACCAGTTTATACCGTTGTACCGGTTTGGCAAGTGGAATGGTACGACCGGTGGTATAACCAGTTTGTGCCGGTTCATGCCGGTTTAAAAAAATATGAAAACAATTAATATCCAATGTATTTAATTATATATAAAACATATTTGTGGACAATTTAGTTACAATCCAACAAATATCATTAACTTTTAACTATTACATTCATAAAATAAATAATAAATTAATTTTTTTATTCATTAAATTCATTAAAATAATATCATTAAACTTAAAATACGTAAGTCGATCATACCGGTCATACCGATGGTGTCATACCGGTTTCATGACCGGCATAGATTGAACCAGGTTCAACCGGGTGGCATGCCACCGGCATGACAACCATGATTGCAGTACTTTCTTAGGGAAAAAGAAACATTTGCATCCAGTTTTGTAATGTATGATCCCCATGAATACAGAGAAAACCAGCTGAAGTCTTCTGCATAGGTGAATTTCTTTGCTCTCCGGGGCTGAATCTTCTTAGTGAGCTTAAACTTCCACTTCTCTATTTGATAAGTTGCCAGACAACAGAGGAAGCCCTAAATATCTTACTGGTAGACATCCCTCCTGAAAACCAGATTGCTGTGGTGCATTCTGCTTATACTGTACAGACTCCCCACCAAAGTAGTTTTCATACTTTAATAGATAAAACTCATCAAGCACCTTGTGCACCTGTTTAATTTCAGAGGCAGAGCCCACTGTAAAAAACGCAAAATCCTTAAAATTTGGGACTGATAACAAAGAAAATGATATTATGTACTTGGCTGGCTAGTTTGATCCAACCCATAAGTTTTACCCGCCAACACAAATGTTGGTCTGGTTGGAGTTGGTTCAATGTGGACCCAAATCATTGTCCATCCTTGCGATTTTGCTCCATTCGAATGGAATTAAATTGTGAAGACTTAAAAGCAGGTTATAATTGCAGAAAGAAGTAGAGCACCTCTATTTCTCAAATCTTCCCTCGTTCCTATTAAAAAGAAGAAGGCACGTTCTGCCTCTCATACGACTGATCTTTAAATCCCTCAAAGTAAACTAAGCTTAGAAGTACTGCTGTCTCCTTCAAGCACATCCACAAAAATCAAAATGGAAAGCTAAGAAAAATGGGATTCTGATAACCCCCAAATCTTCTCTCGTTTTCCCCTCAATTATTACTCTTCAAGCGTCCGACATGGGAAGCTCACCACACTCGGCAATGACAACCCTCTTCCTGGGACGGTCGCCTCTGTCTGTCTCCTGTGATTCAATGAGCTTGACGATTTCCATTCCCTCCAAAACTTGTCCAAACACGACGTGCCTCTGGTCTAGCCACGGGGTCTGCCAGTAAAAAAGGATAAAACCAAACTTCTGGTCATTAGGGGGAAAAAAGCTTCAAACTTTTGTATCATGAACATGAGTGGAGAATCTATTATGCTAGTTTTGTACTCAAGCCACTCCTGATGCACAGCCAAGTGATGGATTGGCTGCTGCATGAATGGTAGCTGGACTTCGGGGTTACTAATAAACGAAATCGCTGGACTTTTATTTTAACATAATAGCCGTAAGTGAAGGGTCCTCAGAGCTACAAGCTACTTAGTTCAATATGGCATTGAAGAAGAATGTAAGAGGGGTTGTAGCAGTATAAAGAAAATTGATTATATGTACCTTAACAGTGCAAATGAAGAACTGACTTCCGTTGGTGTTAGGGCCGGCATTTGCCATACTAACGATTCCTGGTCCAGTATGGGTCACTGCAAGGATGATACGGGAAAATTTCATACAACTAGACTCCTACCAGTCCATGATCACAGAGCCTTTGTTTTAATTCACAATTGTAAAGAAGTTGCCACTTGATTGAGGCCTAAGCAGATGAAATGATGTATCGTTTATGGCTCCTGAAAAGAACAATTTAGAATCAAACTTACACTTGAAGTTCTCGTCTTTGAAAGTCCGACCATAAATGCTCTTGCCTCCAGTGCCCTGCAATCAATTTGATGAGTCGAGGGAGGTAAATAAGCACATGTGTAGCTACGCATAAACAATGCAAGAACAATCAAATAGCCGGCAGGAAGCAGTGTTCCAAATGATGATTGATTATCAAATAAGAGAACAAAATGCAACAACAGTAAGAGAGAAGACTAGCATACATTTCCTTTGTCGAAATCACCTCCTTGAATCATAAAATCCTTGATGACACGATGGAACGCCGAGTTTTTGAAGCCAAACCCCTTCTCTCCTGAGCAAACCACAACAACAGCAACAAATGCAATTGGCAAAACAGACATTTAACGCTTCCACTGGAAAAGCTTCCTTAAAGCCAATGGCAGTAAGAAGACGAGAGTGAAACCTGTGCATAGAGCGCGGAAGTTCTCAGCAGTCTGAGGGACATCATCGCCATACAATCCGATGACAATCCTCCCAGCAAGCTTCCCAACTGGGTTTCCAATGCTAATATCAAAATACACTTTGTTGGTCACTTTGGCTTGCAAATCTGGGACCTGGGAATCAATCAATTAAAAGCTTTCAAGACATTCTACAATTCAGCTCAGTATCAGCTCCTAATTGGAACCCAATACAGCTACAGATTATCCTTTTTACCTGAGCACTAGCTCGAACTACGGAGCTAAGCGGACGAGCTCCACTCCTCTGGCAAGGGGAAGACGACGACTTGAGAGGGCCGAGAGACAGAGACCCAGAGAAGGACAAGCTAGAGGAAGAGCCATATGACGGCTTCGTTGGAGTCCTGATGCTGGAAATCTTGACCGAGCTAAAACTAGGGCTCAATGGTTTGAGCTGCGAGATGCTAGATAGTGAACCCGCGTTCGACTGCCAAAAGACAGAAGAAAAAAAAAATCCCGTCATCGTTATACGGAAGAAGAAACGGAATTCGAAAGCGGAGATTGAACAAACGGCGCGGGCTTTTACCATAGTTGTGAAAGTGGTCGCCATTGATGAAAAGAGCCGAGCAGTTGAGGCTTCTGAGGGTGAGGGCTGGGAGTGAGGGAAGAGATAGCAGAGTAGGTGATGAATGTTGGAGATGGGGGAAATTGTAGCGATACAAGGGAGGTACGGCAAATGGTGGAAATTACTAGAAAGGGTAGTTGGCAGTGAAAGTTAAATGTCAGTTTTGTCCTCAACTCAAAATCATACATCGAAGAAACCAATTTTGACGGCGATAAACAAGATAACAGCTTTCACTGAACTCGATAAACAAGATAATAAGCTTTCGCCCATTCTAAGTTCCATTAAACGCATTCTTTCTGTTCAAACTCCAACAATGGCAATCAGGCTATGGAAGCCATTATTGTTTTCAGCTTCAAGTCTTCTAACTCCAGTGAAGTAGAAACCAGAAGCCTTTGAATCATATTAATACAACAATTTGATTTGATCCGCTCCAAACATGGACCAAGTTATTGCCCACCGCACTGCAGTTGATATTCCCCCAGTTAACAAAAGGAATTGCTATTTGAGAAACGCTTTACAGATTTAGCTCTCTATGTTCACTTGGAACTCTATACATTTCTGTGACGTACTTTGGGGAATGGGGATCATGTACAGGAAAAAAGAATTACATAAACAAAAAGAACTTGGAAGACTAATCATCTAGGCGTTGGATTTCACCCATCATGATACGGTTGCTTGTGACTTTAAAACCAAGCAGTGCCGGATCTATTTGCCTCCCTTTCTTCCCTTTCTTCTTCCCCCCACCTTTCCCTCCTTGCCCTCCTCCCTCCGTCATCCCTTCCGACGGAACAACACTCCCTCCACCAACACCTTGCGGCTGCTGCTGCTGCTGCTGCATTGCTGCCACTTCCGGACCTTTCTTCGCATTACTCTTCAGCATGTCTATGAACGATGGCTCGGATACCTCGCCGCCATCCCCGTATGATGAAGTTCGTCGGAACCTCATGTTGTCTTTCTTGACAATATTCTCCGAACCATGGTTTGTCGAGTTGATTCCTGATCAACAAGATCGAGCTTTTTTATCAGTAAGGTTTACGAGGGCTGTGCTTTGATAAAATGCTTCTTAAGATTCCGCCAGATTTCTCCAATTTTTTAAATAACAACCAAAACAAACACACCAGACAACCAAGACGATTGTTCAAGGATGAAAAACAAATGAGTATACAAAAGATTACAAAGTATACCATCGATGGTGGTTAAGCCGCCTTTCCCACGGAGTGATGATTCGGAGACCAGGTCGGATACCCCCTCATGGGATGAGGATGATCGAGACGAAGGTGGACGTCTCAGCATGACATTTTCTTGCCCCTTTTGTGCTGCACTTAACCTGAACAAAAGCAACATAAGAAACATATCAACCTTGTAAACTTTCTTGCGTACCAAACCATGACCAACGAGCAACTCATAAGGAAACCTCTAAAAGCACTATTCAGGGCACACACAACGCAAAAGACCAATGGAGTCCTGAAACAATGGGTCAATGGTATTTCTAGTCCATGTCTTATGGTATTTCCACAAATAGGAATCCATAATATATTTTCAACAAACATGTTCTTGCACTGTACCATTTATATGCTTCTAAGTCCATCAGATAAAAAGCTCCACCCAGACTAGTAAAAATTACGCTTAACCATATTGTAATCCTTTCAATTGACTCACAGGTCAACCATGTAGCAAATTTATTTTCTGCCCCTCAAATTGACTCTTAAATCTCTCGTCTCCTATCGTTTGTCAGGACTTAAATTGAGTGAAGATCAACTAACATGATCAGATTGAGGGCATGAGGATCTTAAGCATGCACAACATGTTACTAAGAATGCCATTCACCATAGGACAATCAGCTACAATTCACAAGTTGAAAAGCTTACTGATTCATGTGCATCTCATCAGTAAAGCTTCCTTTTTGTACAACCTTGTCGTCATAAAACCCTGCAATTATCATAATCTCAAATACTAAACTGCCAGTTCCTCGTGATCATCAATGTAAAGAGCAAATGAAGCATACATTAAGACTAATTACCAATTGAAGAGTTTCTGCTAAGCCCAGTAATATGTGCCTCCATACCAGCGCCACCACCGAATCTTGCCTGTTCAGCTATGCTGCCATCTTGAACATCCAAGAATGAAGAACCCCTCATCATACTCCTTTCCGTAAACCCCACTTGGGGAGGAGCCTCATTCAACAAAAACCTCTTTCCTCCAGAATTTACGAACTGGTCTTCGCCCGTCACAAAGTCCCCTGTTTTGCGAGGATTAGAACCGTAGGACCCGATTGGGAACGAGCTGTTCATGGTTGATTCGTGGTTAGGGGTCCCCGCATTGTAAATAAGATCAGAAGTTCTGTCAAAAGATCTTGCGTCATTCATGTGTAGAGCATCTTGATGGCCGGATTTCTGATGAAGCAATTCCATCAGCAGTTGCCTCGATTTGTCCTCATTCATTCCGTTGTCTGACATCCATAAACTTGCACGATCCTCAGCAGCTGCAACCATTTTGGCTTCGGCTTCCTCACGTTTCTTATTGATCTGCAACTGCTGGATTCGAGATTCCATCCACTCGTCAGCAACTCCTGGGTGGTGATGCGGATTCAGAGGATGACCACCCATTGCATTTGTCATTACCGCATCCATATTCATTCCTGAAGCACCGCCGGGAGGCATTGAGATAGACCGCTCAAAGGGCCCACCAGCACCTGTATCGAAAAGACCTTGTCGAAGTCGGTCTTGAAAGGATAGCGTTCGATCAAGGTGATGGTTCAACTGCTGCTCCTCATGGCCTTGCATCTGCTGCTGTCTCTGATAAATATCTAATGGACTTAACCCTGAAGAATGATTAGTTCTTTGATTTGTGGCAAGACTCCTAAGGAACTGTTCATTTTCATTGATTGGCCACATGGATTCGAGGAGCTGTTGCTCTTCTGCCAGCTGTCTTGCCTGAATCTGTTCCTGGCGGAGTAGAAACTGTTGCTCTAAGTTCTGGATTTGCCCATGCTGTGCACGTGATAACAACTCAAATAAATCCCTCTGCTGCTCTTGCTGCATGGATGGGTGAAAATGTCTTGAAGATGGATGGTGGGGACCCCTCTGTTGTTGCATTTCATGCAGAAGTTGCTGCTCCAGGATAACTTGTTCCATAATATTGTTGGCTCTCACAGGATCAGGCACCTGACCATGCAACAGCTGTTCAAGAATCACCTGCCGAGCTTGAGATATCTGTCTCTCCTGTAATTGCTTCTGCTGTTGTTGAAGCTGCAACTGCTGTTGCTGTTGCTGTTGCTGTTGTTGGAGCTGATGTTGACGCTGCTGTTGCATTTGGAGTGCTAAAAGATGCTCGACATCGGGATTAGAATGACCCATCAACTGCTGATGATGATGGTGACCACGATTCTGTGTAGGTCCATGTTGCATCAGTGATTCATTTAAGAGAGCATGAGGAGATAGCATACTCTGCTGCTGCTGAATTTGTCGGGAGATAAGTTGCTCTGCTAGATCAACCTGATTATGCTCTTGCTCAAAATGTGGCAGTCGGCGATTATTAACAATGGAGTCATGGAGCAGATTCGGGCTAGGAAGTGAGTCTTGTCTGTAGGAGTTTGACCATTTCTCGGGTGCTGGGTCACTCAATGCAGCAAATGAGGCGGTTCTCTGCACATCATTTGTTGCTGGAGGCCTAGCATGAGAGCTTTCAAGCTCAGACCAAAACAGGCCAAACGGATGCAATGTGGTTGTATCGTTTTGCTTTGGTAACCCAGGATTCGTGAATTCGTTGGCAAGAGATGGATGACTGTTCGAAACTGTTACTGGAACACGAAGACTCCCGGATGATGGTAAAAGGGGAATGCCAGCACTGCCAGGTCTACCAGGAAACACAATTTCTGGAAGATCAACAGAGCCCATTAGGAGTACAGAAAGACATAAGAAAGAAAGAAAGAAAGAAAGAAAGCAAGGCAATTCAGAAAAGATGGACAAACCTTCATCTTGCACACTGAGATCATGAAAGCTTTGCTCATCAGGAGGCGGCTGCTTTGACGAATTATCAGTATCAGAAATCCTTGTGCGAGTAGACTCTGTCAATGATTGCCCTTCATTTTCCATAGTTGATAAGCTGGCCTCCGAGATTCCATTGGCCATATCGGAAGGTTGCTGCTCCATGAAAGATTGTGAGTATGGTTCTTTGTACTGCAGTTGGGGTAAAACTTCACCTAGATTCTGGAAAGGTGTGCCTTCAACAGCATCTGCTAAGCGAACTGGTAAATCTGTCCCAAAGTAACCCTCTTCAAACCACATGATTATATCTGCTCCAAGAAATGGCCCTTGAGTGTTTCCATGAGGATCTATATAGCAGAAGTACAATTCCTCGAGCGGAATACTTGATTGCTCTCCATTACTCCCCAAGTTCTTCTCGGAAGAAGGTAGGGAAAATAGAGATTTCGGGTCATCCGGCAGAATAGGTTGTCTATCTTCAACAAACTCGTTATGCTGGTGAACATTCACATGGTTCTTTAGTTCAAAACTTGAAGCTGTATTAATCCCATTTTCATCTCTCAAGGTATCTGCCATTAAACTGTCAGCAGCTTCTCTTCCTTCAACTTCTTGACGATTGCCATCTTTATCTGAAAAAACAAAACACCAATTTTTCTTTAGATATGGAGTGTCATAGTGTATTTTTAAAAAAGTTAATATATTTAGTCAACACGATTTCAAGTATTCAACGAGAAATTGACACTAATTGAATAATAAACAAACCTTGCTCTAACAATAGCAGAACATCATTGTTATGGTTTTCATGGCCCAATGCAGAATCTTTAATGAGGAGACAGTTCTGAATATCACATTTCCCCTCAGAAGAATATTCATCAAGTCCAGCTATATTAAGACAGAAAATTTTCAGCACTTAGATTCATCAAGTTCATCATCAGGCAACAGGTATTGAGCCAGCTAATCCAAATTTTACCTGAACTATTCTTGTTTGATCTCCCTGTTCTGGATGAATTATATGCCACTTCACTACTTGTGACCTTTCCCTTCCATATATCAGCAAGAACAGCCTGCATAACAACCAACAAAGAATTAGAGAGCTAAGTCAATAAAAGATAACTGGCCGACATAAATACTTTATCTGAGGGAGAAGTACAATTAGTGGTGTAACCTAGTTACTTACCAACTCTTCCCCATAAGGGGTCACAAAAGCCAAAGGTTCTGTACAGGTCACTTCAGAGGTTTGGGAAGATTCCTCCATTTCCGCAGGCATAGAACTGAATGATGGATCAAGCTTCTGTCGACGATATATGTCCAGAAGTTTTCCCCTTGGATAGCAAAATGAGGCAGTCAAAATGGCAGGTTTCCCAATGATGCTTTCAGAATTGTAGGAGGCAGTAGGAGGAGAAGCTCCTATAGGCAAAGACCTCCCTGCTGCACTAGACCTTCCTCGACCAACAGCAAACCCAGTGTTTGATCCTTCAACTCGAGCTCGCTCTGGCCCAAATCCCGGTGCCGCACGATAGGAAGAGGGGCTCGAAGAATGAACCTCCATCCTGTGCCTTGGCCTCCATTTGTCACGAGAATCTGATGCCTCACGCTCAGCTATTCGGATGTTCCCTGTAGAAGCTTGATTGTCACTTTGAGGAGTATCATCTTTCTCTTTATCTTTCTCCAAATCTTGTTTCTTCTCAACTCGAATTTCCTTATCTTTGTCTTCTGGGCCCCACCTAGATGACCATTTGTTATTGTCCCGTCGTGGTGCTTCATGCCCAGCAGCTGTACGATTCCCTCCATCATGCCTTCGCTCTGAGGAAGGTAGTACAGGCCTATTCTCAGTAGGTTCTCTGGCAATGATATCAGCACGACGGTCCGCCACTTTCCTTCGGTCTCTTCTGGCACCAAGTAAGCCGGTTTCCCTTTCCTCTTCTCGCCACCGGCGACTAGTTTCATTCTCACTTGCAATCCTTCTCCAGTCCTTTTTATCCTCTGGTCCATCTAAACGCCACGAATCTTTCTGGCCTGGATCATTTGCTGCCCCTAAAGAGAGAGATGAGGGAGAACGAACATCCTGACACATGAAAATGCAACAAATTAAGCCTTACAAAGCACAGCAGTAATCAGGCTCAGATGGAAGAGACTTTCAGGGGGTAATCAGAGTGATAGAAAACAGAAAACACTAGCAGAAACACAGAATAATAGTGTCTGAATGCAAAAGACAACACAGGGATACTCAGGTGGAATCAAATAGACGAGTTTTGTACGATTCACCTGCTCCAAAGGTATCAAGTAAGAGTATCTGAATGCAAAAGACAACACAGGGAATCAAATAGACAAGTTTTTAGGATTCACCTGAGGCAAAGAAGGTGTCAAATTCGGGGAATACTTATTCAAAACCTCCCTCCCCCCAAGAAAAAGAAAAAACGGAGTGGGGAGCGCATACACAGATAAAAAATCATTCAGCAATCTGTGAAGTGGCTATCTATTGGTACGGGATACAAATTTGTCCATGAATAGAACACATATCTGGAAAAAAAGACAGCACGTATGAAACATAAAAGATGGATGGTTGAGATAATGCGCACCATCTTACTCTCACTCGGTTTCGTATAAAGCCACTGTGGAGACAAAGGTATGCTGCTATCTATCACCATTTGATCTGAAAAAAGAACGAAGAATCAAAGGATTACTAAGCGGACAAAACTAACTGGAGAAAGAAAAAACAGAGTATGGAATATGTTATGCCATCGTCCAACAAATAGAATTTCCGTATAAGAGGCTACCTTTGGAATCAAATTGTAAACCTCCAAGAACCTTATCCTCATCACTTCCTCCCAGAGCTTCCACTGCCACAAAGCATCATTACAGTCCGAACCATCAGAAAAACGTTATCTCCGGTCAAAAATACTGGGGGAACTATGTAAAGAAGGCTCGCACAACAAGTATTAATGATAAACTACACAGCAATGTTCTTATCAGTTCGCGAATCGTTCAATCATCCAAGAAATACAACACGCCAAATCGCAAAAAAAAAAAAGACATGGGACTGATACAAATTAAGCAAGCTGTCGGGCAAATTGAAATGAAATCAGCGAAGGATAAGGAAAATCAAGAAGCAAAAGCGGAATGGCGGCGAACTCAGATCAAACAGGAGGCAATAACCATACATTACTAACTAGCGCTTTGCATCGAACAAACGGAAACAAAAGAAATTGAACTAGAACCAAATTGAGAGTGGAGGAGGGGAGCAGACCTCTAGGGTTGAGAGAGTGATCGGCGGGGGGTTTGGAGGAGGGAAGATCAACGTCGGGCAGATCGAACTTGCGTCCAGCCATGGAGAAAGAGAGGCGCGAGAGATCGGGAGAACTAAGCAGAGAGGGAGAGAGAGCTCAGCAGAGGAACACTCCGGCACTGAGAATTTGGCAGACTGAGGGAGTAATTACAGTGAATCAATACAGCAACGAGACACAAGTAGCAACCAGAAGCAGGAGAGGAGCCAGCGGGAGTAGAGAGCAGAAAGAGGAGCTGGTTTGCGGAGCGGAGATTAGATTGGAGTATTTGCAGGAAGACTTAGGGTTCGGGAGCTAGTGAAAGAGGGTGAAGATTGAGGAAGAGAGAGAGAGAGAGGCAGTCGCCGGTGACGGCGAGAGCGGGAAGCGGCGGCGAGAGAGATAAAAGAGAGATTGGGTTGGGTTTGAGGCGCAGCGAGCGAACGAGGGTAGTGTGAGAAAAGGGGTGAAATGGGTGAGAGAGAGGGGGAGGAGACGAGCAGCCAAGGCCAAGGTCGGGAAGAGAGGGTTTGAGAGGTTGGGTGGTCAGAATAGCTCAGAAAAATCAGCTTCCCTATAATCGAACCAAAATGTTTAGCGGAAAATGGTAGCAAAACAAAACGAATAAACAATTGAATTAGAATTTAAATTTGGGAGCCAAATCAGCTAATTATTGGCATTACATGAAAATTTTAAATAATTGTTGAATATGAATGGGTTGAATTTCTCATGTCAGAACAAAATTTATGGTGTATTAACTCTCATCGAATTCTCGAGAAAAAGTAACGCATTAATATGAAATTTAAAATTTTGGATACATATAAACCTCCTTAATAAATGGCAGGTGAACCTACAAAACTCGATGGTCAATCGGAGACATAAAAGGTGCTTTGGTTAGGCTATTCTCAAGCCTAAATGTAAATCTTCTGAATAAATGGATTGTGACATATACTAAGGTTGTCAGACTAGTTTAGTCGGTGAGGCAAATGGTTTGAGTCTTTGAGATTAATTACGTGGGTCGAGGTTTGAGTCAGTTTATAGAATATATGCGTATATATGATAATAATTTAAGATTTCAATAACCCGAATTACTTTGATAGGTACCATACAATAATTTAATAATCAATATAGTATCTTACCCTAAAAGTCGTGTTTGCTTTGTTTTTCATAATAGAGTTTGGGAGAGGACCAAAATGCGGCATTCTGTCTAAGAGTCTAAAACCAACCAATTCGGTCAGATCATTGATTTTTTACAAGTTTGACCAGTTTGGAGGGAAAATGGATTGCTGGGTCTCATTTCAGCATCGGGCGCCCTGACTATAACTTGACAACATTGCCTATAATACTCAATTCAAGACCTAAATGTACTTTTATTAGGCCATTCTCAAGCCTCATGTCATGCCCATTTAAGAGCACAATTATCCTATGTTTGAAAGAATAACTTTAGGGTTTCCTTGGTCGAACCAAGAGAATGTCACAAACGTAGCTGATACTCGATTTCTCTTTATCGCCCCAGACAGACCAACTTCTCCGGCGAACCCAGCAACTGCTGGTCGTCCGCCTGACCCAAATATGATCCCTCCTCTGTCCCAAGCCCTCTCTGTGGCAAATACTGCGAGCTTCCCACCGTTAAACTTCAAGTCAGCTCTTACTGGTCCTGTTCAAGAGGCTGCATCGGAAATCAATCAATGGACTTTCGTTGGCCAACACGATCTGGAACCTGGTCTCTATGGTGGTGAACCGAAGCTTAAGGTGTCCGACCAGTTCAAAGATCGTCTTTGCCAACCGTGGATTAAAACCTTGGTGGTCAGACTGCTCGGGCGACCGGTTTCGTACAAATATCTGTGCTCCCAGCTCCGATGGAAATGGCGCCCGGTGGGTAGATTGGATATCGTGGACCTCAACAACGAAACCTTCCTCGTCTCTTTTCACAACGATCAAGACCTCCTCAATGCTCTCACCGGTGGGCCTTGGACAATCCTCGACCACTACCTCGTAGTCCATAAATGGTCGCCTTCATTCCGTACGTCAGACAAGCCGCATTGATCAGTGGTAGCATGGATACAATTGTCTGAGCTCCCGGTTCATTTCTATCACCGAGAGGTTCTCTTTGCTCTGGGGAATCTAATTGGCAGAACTATCAAACTCGACTACCATACAGAGAATCTTGAGCGGGGCAAATTCGCTCGCATTGCGGTGGAGCTGGACATGACGAAGCCTTTGGCCACCCGCATCCGTCTCGATGGGTTCTGGCAACAGGTCCAGTATGAAAAACTGTCGGAAATCTGCTTTGAATGCGGAAGGATTGGCCATACTGAAGACTCATGTCCAAGAAAGGTGAGTGCGAGAGCCCCTGTTCCGATGGCAACGTGCGATGCCATTTCTTCCAACCTGACTGCGACGCCGGCTGCGGGGTACGGCCCCTGGATGCAAGTGACTCGGAAGAGCAAAAAACAAAATAGGAAGGTGGCGCAGAAACCGGCCTCTCTTTAGGGATCTGATCAAAATCAGGGTGGTATTCTTGGAAAGGCACCCGAAAAAGCTTCTCAATAGGGAAAGGGAGATCAGAATCGAGCCACACTTGGAAAGAATGGGAAAGGTAACTCCTCACTAAAGGCTGAGGAAAAAAAAGGACTCTCTATAGCTTTAAGGGGAAAGGCAGTGGAAACAGGAACGACTCCTCCAACGGCAAATCAGGTTTGATTCTTCAAGAATGGTGGATCACGGGCGCCAAGGACATCTCGGGAGCGGCCCAAGCCCATCCGGATATTGTAACCTCTAACAAACCAAATGGGTCGAGCCCAATGACGACGTCCATTACTCAAAACCCCATCTCGAGCTCAGCTGTCTCTCCCCCTGCGAAGCCAACCAGTCTGATCCCCTTCCTTGTTCCTGCAACAACCAAGGAGAACTCCGACCCCAATCTGATGAGTGCTTTGATTCGTGATCATTACCCAAAGAAGAAGTCCCCGCAATCATCAGGAAGGGAAGCTAAGATGGGCATCCAAAAGGATCCGTCCAAGAAATCAACGAATTGCTCCGCTAGCTCGGCCAAAGAAAGGCTTCAGGAATTTGTGAAAAAATCAAATTTCCCGATAAACTCTGAAGCCATTGCGGAATTCATGACTCCGCTGGACGAGCTCAGAAATGATGCTACTATGATGGACCCCGAGATTAGCACCTCCGCGACCTCCAGCGATGAAGCCATCGGGCTGCAGCCAATCGAAAAACTCTAGCGCTTCTGCACTTTCTCTAAACCTTAATCTCCTTTTTAATGATTAGTCTTTTTACTTGGAATTGTCGAGGGGCTAAGAACCCTAAGTTTCTTGCCATTTTTAAGGATTATATGCGTCGTCACCGCCCGAACCTTGTCTTCATCGTTGAGTCGCGAATTAGCGGCAAGGAAGCGTTGGAGGTTATTCGTAAGATTGGTTTTGACAAGCATGAGATGGTTGAGGCAGTGGGATTCTCTGGGGGGATATGGGTTCTCTGGAATTCTTCAGTTTTCAACATCTCTGTTTTGGATAGGAATTCTCAAATGATGCATTTTCGTTGTGTCAATTTGCAGGTCAATAAAGCGGCCCTTCTCACTGCGGTTTACGCCAAACCCAACGAGCATGACAGACTTCCCCTGTGGGACACTATTCGGAGAATGGAGTAAAATATTTCTGAGCAGTGGCTTTTGGCTGGCTACTTCAACTCCATCAGATGCCCGTCGAAAAAGCAAGGCGGTGCAAACTATAACCCAGCTAGAGCCGAAAGTTTCAACAGATGCATAAATGATTGTGGGTTGCTTGATATTGGTTTCTTAGGGCCAAAGTTTAATTGGGTCAAGGGAAGCCTTCATCAAAGACTTGATCATGCCCTGTGTAACGAGGATTGGCTGAGGTTATCCCCTGACACAATCAATAACCACCTACCTCGTCTACGCTCGGATCACAGGCCCTTACTGATCGTGGCTGCCAAAGATAGCAGTGGCAAGAAAAACAAAAGGCCCTTTCGATTTCTTGCACCTTGGTTAGCCCATCAGGACTTCCATCCCACTGTAGACAAATCGTGGAAGGCTGGAAGAAACTTCCTTGAGTCTCTTAACGACCTCCAGCACACCCTTTATAAGTGGAATAGAGAGGTTTTTGGTAACATTTTCAAGAGGAAGGAGGAGCTGACCAGATCCCTTGCCAATGCTGAAGCCCGAAATGAATCAAATCCAGACTTCCTATCTCTTCAACAGGAAGCTAAATTTCGAGAGGAACTGGAAAATACTCTTTGGCAAGAGGAACTTCTCTAGATGCAAAAATAATACCTACTTCCACACTGTAGCACTTACAAGGCGGCGTAGGAATAAGGTGACCAAGCTTCAGGGTAGCGATGGTACCTGGGTCGAAGATTCACAAGTGCTGGAAGACATGGCCAGAGATTTCTATATTCATCTCTTCACTGAAGATGTTGCCACAAGGCCACATGTAGCGACCAAATTTCCCGCCCTTGAGGAGAATCTCACTAGAAGCATGGCAGCCATTCCAACTCTGGACAAAACCCGAAGAATCATTAAGGCAATGGGTGGTCTCAAAGCACCGAGCAAGGACGGTTTCCATGCAATTTTCTATCAGAACTGCTGGACTTCTATAGGAAATGACTTCCACCAACACCTTGTTCGATGCTTCAAAGAGCCTGATCACATCGCCCACTGCAACACGACCCTTCTGACCTTGCTTCCGAAGTGTGATTCTCCCAAGTCGATGGGGCAATTTTGATCTATCGGACTCTGCAATGTTAGCTATAAGGCTGTGGCGAAATGTCTGGCAGACCGTTTGAAGAGCCTTATGCCTCTTTTGATCGATGAAAATCATACTAGTTTTGTCCCTAACAGACACATCACAGACAACATCATTATTCTCTAGGAAGTGGTTCACTCTCTCAATCAACTGAAGGGTGCTCGGGGCAGTATGGTCTTGAAGATCTATTTGGCAAAAGCCTCCGACAGCATCAACAAGGAGTTCTTGCGATCCACTCTTGTTGCAGCCAGTCTCCCGATGGATTTCATCAATCTGATCATGGGTTGCGTAACTACTTCCAGCTTTCAAGTTCTTTGGAATAGGAGTTGCACGGAGTCATTCAAGCCCTCACGTGGAATCATACAGGGATGCCCTCTCTCTCCATATCTCTTTACTTTATGCATTGAGCGTTTAAATCACTGTATCAAAGAGTCGGTTGACAATGGTCTCTGGAACCCTTTACATTTGTCTCAACAGGGATCGACCCTCACCCATCTCTTTTTCGCAGATGATTTAGTGCTCTTTGTCGAGGTCGATATGAAGCAGGGGAAGGCCATCCTGGACTGCCTAGAAAATTTTGGGAGTTCCAGTTGTACATGGGCGTGTAACTAAGGACACCTACAAGTATATTCTGGAAAATCTAGATATGAGGCTTTCAGGATGGAAAGCTAGGAGCATTTCTCTCGCAGGACGGGTTACTCTAGCCTTGTCAGTCCTGAATGCGCTTCCTAATTACGTGATGCAAACAACGGTCCTGCCCTGTCATATCTGTGATGTGATAGATGAAAAGATCCAAAGTTTTGTCTGGAGAGCGGAGGAAGGTCGTACTAAAACCCACCTAGTGACGTGGGAGACAGTTTGTAAACCGAAGGAGCAGGGTGGATTAGGCCTTCGATTTGCCCGCGCCCTTAATCTGGCCTACATTATGAAGCTTTGCTGGAATTTTATTAATGATAACAACGCTCTGTGGAGTAGAATTTTGCAGGGCAAGTACATCAAGGCGAATAACGATGGTACTGTCTCAATGAGGCACCAACGAGTTCCAAGACTGTGGAAAGGGATGTTGGAAGCCTTTCCTCTCGTGAAGCAGGGTGCTACTTGGGATATCCGAGATGGAGAGAGTGTGAAGTTTTGGCAGGATGCTTGGGTGGCGGATGGTGTGGTCCTGAGGGATCACGTAAATGACCAGTGCCCCGATATGGACGGGAGTATTTCAGTTGCTGACATGGCGGATGCATCAGGTGAGTGGAAATGGCCAAGTTTCGAAAAATACTTCCCTAACTCTATCATTCTGCTTATTGCAGGTACAGACCCACCAAGACAGGATGCTGGAGAAGACCTGATGACATGGGGAATGGATGCAGACGGCAAGTTTTGAATAAAATCAGCCTACACCGTCGCAGCAGAGTGGCTCCGGAAGGATGACAACGAAACTGATCAGAACCAGGCCAGCCCTAAATGGAGATAAATTTGGAAATGAGATGGTCCCCATCGCATACGACATTTCCTATGGCTAGCTTTCCACGACCGCCTGTTGACGAATTGCGAGAGGAAGAGAAGGAAACTTTGTCAACAGGATACCTGAGATCTTCGTAAAGCAGCCCCGGAATCAAAAGAACATATCCTCAGGCACTGCGCATACATCCCAGGTATGGCATGAACTCGGTATCTCTGATGACAGTCTAACTATTTTTCTTAATCTTGCAGACTGGATGGCGGAACACCTCAAAAACCCGCAAACCGGGCTGCTCTTTGGAGTTGGCGCTTGGTATCTCTGGAAAAGAAGGAATGAATGGGTTTTTGAGCACAAGCAGCAAGACTCTACTACCCTCGTCGAAAGAATTAGGAGTTGGACTAACACTGTCCGCAACGCTCAAGAGAACAATGACAAAATCCAGACTACTCGGCGTACAAAGACGGCGACAGAGATCGCGTGGAATCCTCCTCCTTGAGACTGGATCTCGCTCAACACGGATGGATCGGTCAAGCAACCTGATTCCTTGGCAGCAGCGGGGGGTCTTCTTCGAGATAGCTCAGGAAGATGTCTGGGAGCGTTTGCATCCAACCTGGGGGCCTGCACAATTACGAGAGCTGAGCTGCTGGGGGCGGTACAAGGACTCAAGTTTGCGTGGCAGCTAGGCTACCGGAAAGTACAAATGTGGACCGACTCCACGACTGCAACCACTTTAATGACTTCTCATTTGACGTACGAAGGGCGTTACCACAGTCTTTGGACTCAACTGCAGCAACTCATCCAATAAGATTGGGAGATTGAGATCTCTCATACTTTTCGTGAAGGCAACAAGTCAGCCGATTACCTTGCTAACAAAGGGCATTCTATTAGTCTTGGTTATCATGTTATTGAGAGAGGTGACCCTAGCCTCAACTTTTGGTTTTTGTACGACTCTATGGGCATTGCCCAATCTCGTTTAATTTAAGTTTCAGGCAGGGGTGCCCTTTTAGCGTCCCATTTTCCTAAAAAAAGAATAACTTTAAATAGTCAATTAACTTATATGTTAGTTCTCGCGACGTGTATACTTGATTGTTATGCTCACTTAAGTATCTAAACATTGAACTAGTTTTGTTTTCTCCCTTTGAAAGCCCAAAGCATCATGGATTCCAGTTGCTAGTTTTGATTCTCTGTGGTTGAAAAGGAAGGTGAAATGGAGAGGGGTATATATTGTTGTGTGATGTGTCGGTTGCTTGCATAATAATGAGATTGGTATGGCATTGTTGGGTCAAATGTGGATAAAACACTAAAAGTAGCTCTTCACTTTTCCTTGAATCATTTTCTTGTTTAATAAACAATCATTATCATGATTCATGTGTTGCTTTCAATTAAGGATTCGAGAGATACAAACCATTCTACCGAAATAAAATAGCTCTGGAAAGAAGCTTAACAAGTCAATTGAGTGTAGGATTAGCTTGTCAATTGTTGACGCGTACCTAAACCCGTCATCTCCTTCACCATACTTCTAAGCAAAGATAATCCCTGCCTTTATTATACGTTGACGCGTACATGGGCTTTTAGAGCCCATTTAGTTTGGTACTCGGCCCACGGGCTTTTGTTCCCTTCAATGCACGGAGCACGCTCCTGGGTTTGTCCCGTTGCCCACCTACTAAAGCAGGGCAGCGATAAGAACTAAGAAGAAGAAGCGAATCCGGGTAGATATATAATGATAATTAATTAGTTAATTGCACAAAATTAAGGGGGAAAATTAACACGTGAAAGTCGAGTCAGCCGCAGAGGCAGAGCCTCAAATCAGACACACGGTTGACGGTTCACAATTTCTTCCAAATTTTCGTATTTTCCGGAACACAATCGACGGCGGAGCCAATCCCACTCCGTCGCTTCTTCCGCCGCAGCTTGTCGCAGATGAACGCCATCTCGAGCTGATCCACCCTCTGAGACAAGGCATCCAGAAGCCGAGCCTGCATTCGATTCCTCTCGTACAACGCAGCCATCATCCCAATCATCCTCTCGTTCTCCCCTGCCATCTTCTCCAGCAGCTCCGCGTTCTTTCTCTTCTCTTTTTCATCGTCATCATTCTTCTCGGAGCAATCTCCCCGCTGCTTCTCGCTAGCGTTACAACCGTCACTATCAGCTTCTTCCTCGTCTCCTTCCACCAGCGTCCAATTTTGCAGATCCTCGGCCTGATCATCATCGTTAGTTTGCTCTCGGGAAATTTCAGGCTGATCGGCACAATCTGAAACTGAATCGCCGCCGCGGCCTTCAGCTTCAATTGCTGCTGCTGATTCTAGGGATTCGTGATTTTCAAAGCCGGAATCGGCAATTGAATCGACGAACTCTTGCAACGCGATGGCCTTGTTGATGACTCGCTTCCTGAAATCCCTAACTCCCGGATCCGAGCCGGGGACGGAATCCAGCCTGAAGAGCAAACTCATGAGCGTCTCGTTAACCTTGAGCCGCTCCTTGCCATCCCTGCGAATCAAATCCGTGGTACCCGAGATCCTGATCTCCACCGCGTTAACCTCGCTTCTTATCCCTGCAATCCTCTTCATGCTTTTCCTCACCAGGAATCCCCTGAACACCTTCTGGATCTTCCTCGCCGCCGAGTCGGATCTGCGGAGTAGCAGATCCGAATGGGAAGGAGAAGCGACGTGGTGGACTGGGACTGACACCACCTTGCGCGCCGGCGGTGAGGGAGTGGGAGACGGCTCGGTCGGGTAGTAGTATCGACGCGGGTAATTCCATCGGTTACTGTAATAGAACGGGCTCGCCATGGGTGGAGATGGAACAAAAATTGTGGGAGTCGAGTTTTGCTTGTTTTTCGTTATCACGCTGATTGAAATGGATTTTGAAGTTTGATGGAGGAATCAGGTAGTAGAATGCAGGTATATTTATAGGATGGAGGGAACACGAAGGCCGACTTCCCAACGGAGATTCCAGAAGTTTCAGGGGAGGAGAGAGAGAGACATTTCCTTTCCTCTACAGTGTTGTGGAGATGATGAACACCGTTTTCCTTTTCCGATTTTGAAGCGGAATGAGTGACGTGGCGGGGGCTGCCCTTTCCGCAAGCGAACCCGTCGACGGACGGCCGCGTTAAACGACGCAAGCCATGTCGTGTTGGAATGGATATTGGATCAGTTATCAATTCCAAATTTACTGCATGAATTAACGGTCTGATGATGTCAACAAATCTGTCACTACTCAATTGAAGGTTGTTTGGATGGAGAATTGTGACAAGTTAATTTGATCCATTTATTTTCATAAATTTTGGATGGGTTGATTTGGTCTTTGATAATATTTTTTAGGGTTAATACCTTATTTTGGTCCGAACTATGATCATATAATCAACTTTGGCCAGTGATTTCAGAAATTAACATCCTGGCCTCAACTATGCAGCATATAAACTCGATTGACCCGACACATGGTTTGATCGTTAATTTGGACGGTCAACATCGTTGACCGTTAGTCAACACGTCATGTCATTGCCTCGTCAGCCCAAAAATTATTAAAAAATTCAAATCCAAATTAATTTTCTAATTTCTATTATTTATCATTTTCAAATTAACCAAAAAATAAAATTTTAAATAATTTTATAATTTTAATTTTTTGGTAATATGATAAATAATAAAAATTAGGAAAATAATTTGAATTTGAATATGTTTAATGATTTTTATACTGACGAGGCAATGACAAGGCGTGTTGACTAATGGTCAACGGTTTTGACCGTTCAAATTGACGGTCAAACCATGTGTCGGGCCAATTGAGTCAATATGTTGTATAGTTGAGGGCAAGATGTTAATTTCTAAAACCACGTGCCAAAGTTGATTATATAATCACAGTTTAGACCAAAATAAGGTATTAACCCTATTTTTTATCGTTGTCTTACATAACTCATTTTATAAAATGATACAATTGACCAAATTGTCTCATTTCTCAATTTATCTATCCAAATATCATGATAATTTTGTCTCACAATTTTGACTTATTAGGCATTTATTCTATCGCTATTTTGACATAACAGGAGCTTATTCGAAGGAAGAATATAGTAAAGTGAAATTAGCTTGACTTATAATGAATGATAATTCGATTTACATCATTGGATTGAGATCTAAGTAACGTCAAATATAATTTGATTTAATTCAAATCAAGACTATTTTTATTAGGAAAAAAAACTAATCAAATGTGCTTCAATTCAATTTTAGCCCTCGTATTTCCTTTATTGACGAGCTAATCTTTTATTGATTCAATTTAATTTTGGATCAAATTAATCCACTCCTGGGTCCGAGTGTTGATGTGGCCTTTTTAGTTTTCAGTAGTAATATATATATATATATATAGCTTATCTGGCCATTTTGAATGGACAATCAAATTGAAATGGAGAGAATATTGGAATGACTTCAACAGTCCAACCACTTTGGTAGTTTGGTGCATAGTTTGTCGAATATTTACCTCCGGATTCTAAATATATCCTTCATTGGAATTTAATTCACACACGAGGGCATTTGGTCTAGTGGTATGATTCTCGCTTCGGGTGCGAGAGGTCCCGAGTTCGATTCTCGGAATGCCCCAGTCTGCTTATGTTTTTATTTTGAGTTTCCAACAGCATCATCAATATCATTACTCACCCCTGCCACCTAGTAATAAGCAACAGAACATGTTTTGGTTTTGGTAACATGTAGCCTGAAAAATAAAATGGAGTTATACATCATCTACATTCACAATCTTCTTGTCCATCATAATCCACTCGTCATTACACAACGTTCACACTTCTCATGCTGCAGACAAGGCTGGAAATGCTGTGGCAAAAAGAGTTAAAAAAGCAGAAATCAAGTCAGGAGGAACAGATTTACGCTTCACGCCTTCACCCAAGCTCATTCTGTTATTAGATGAAGCCCCATCCGTTCCCCAAGGAGACAGTAATGCCCGAGCGAAAGCATTTCTCCAACGGGGGCAGGTCGAAGCAAGCATTCATGCACATTGCAGCAGCAGGGCAGTTAGGCGCCTTTGACTCCAGCTCTAGCTAGGAAACCAATCTTAACATAAACCAGTGCTAACGAACATTAGAACATAAACCAGTGGAAGCTACTACTACTACTAGGTTTGCCTAATGAAGCAGTCATTAGTTATTAGCTCTGTGGCATCAGCCCACACAGAGCAGCCAGCAAATCACTCCGGAAGGAACTCAATCTATCCTCTGAAAGAACGTTACAGTTCCGTGTTCAACTTCCCGAGTATCCTTCACCACTTCATTCTCATAAGGTATCTGTGAGGGTCCATTCGAGATGGGCGAGCTGATTTCAACGAGATGACCTCCGGCGGCCAGATCTGATTCCGATGAGCTGTAGCTCTTTCCTCGGGACGGTTTTCACAGTGGACGTCGATAAGCAAATCGGTCAGCTCTCATTCTGGATTATCAAGAACCGGCGACGAGATGGTTACCGGCGTTGAAAACTTCCTTCTCTTGTGGCTATAATTTCTCGTTTCTTAATAGTTGTGGCTAATATATTGTATTTACCCAACTTAATTTCTTTAAATTTTCACACTAAAGAGTATTAAATGGACACTTTTACCCGTAGCCCAAATTTCTAACCAAAATCCTTAACAAATTACCACCCAAACCCACTATATAGCGGCTTGGGATGGTCTTTGATAGTTCCGTGTATTTATTTTTAAATTTAAACTAACTTTTAATCCAGTCCATTCCAAATTACTTTAACTTACTCATTCGTGGAACATGAGAGAGATATATTTTTGGAGAATTGTATATTCAAATATAAAATAAAATTTTACACCGCCTCTTATTTTTCTAATTCAATATATACATCCAGATCAAGAAGAAAATAACAAAGTTTATGACTTTATTAAGGGGACTTGCAAGTCACCATGATTTGGACAAAACGGTCGACCTCTTAATTGATATGGTCGACCTATTTGGACAAAATGGTCGACCTCTTTGCTGGAATGGTAGACCAGATATACTATTTTCATGTGCTATATTCAACAAATGGTCGACCTCTTCCACTAAAAGGTCGACCACTTTACAAGAAAACGGTCTACCACTTCTATCAAGCGGTCTACCTCTTTCACCAAGCGGTCCACCGCTTTTAATAACCGATTGACCGGATGAACCATTCATAATGATATATTCATACATAATTAGAGTCCAATAAAAGATACGCTTATTAGTAATTAGAGATTTAAAATTAGTACAAAGGTTGCAAGCATAGATGACAAGTTTCTCGAGTGATTGTTCTACTATAGATTTGGAAAATGTTCTGCATATATATTTCTAATATTTGACTTACTCTATAAAGACTTTCATCTTTCCTTCAAATTCTAAGTTTGCTTGTTTTTACATATAATTGTCTTGTGATAAATCAACTTTGTTGTTATTGTTGTTATGGAAATGCTAAAAAACTAGAGTATACTTGTTATACAATTGTGACACATTCAACGTCCATATATCTCACATTATCTTGCTTTTGTGGATTTTTATTCCATAAGTGTTAAAAGAGAGTGGTTGTTCTTTTTGTCTTGGCCTGTAATCTGTGTAGGGATTTGGTTACCCACAAGTGACATGATGTTTCCTTACTACAAAACAATTTTGTATTGTTGATCTCCTATCGTCCATTATTTTCCTAATGTAAGTATAAGGTAAGTAGGTAACTGTGTAATCTGGTCAACCGTTCGACAAAAGAGGTACGTAAACCACTTTACAGAATCGGTAGGCTGTTTTGGCATAAGCGGTCTACCTCCTCCAACAAGCGGGTGTAAGTTGAAGGTAAGTGTGTCATAGGTCGATCCATTGCTGGAAGCGGTAGTCCAGTTCCCTCAAGTGGTAGACCATTTTCTTGTAAAGTGGTTCTGAAACATAACTACAGCCGCCACCGAGAAGGTTTTAAAGTTTTGAAGAATGTCAAGGGAAGTTCCTAGCTTGGTTAAGTTTCTCTAATACAACAAATCTTTTGAAACAAGACAATGTTCATAGCATCAGGAATGGAAAAAAAACACTAAATTCTGGCTTGATTCTTGGGCTCTGCAGGTACCTTTAATGGATGTAGCCATAGGCGAGGTTCGGACGAGGAAAAAGAGTGGAAGGTGGCGGAGCTATGGGATACTGTGGATGGGTGGAGAGTTGATAAATTTTAACATCTTCTCCCGTCGGATGTCACAGACAGAATCAGGGGGATTTGGGTCGACTCTCTCTTGTTGGAAGAAGATCAAGCAATTTGGAAACACACCTCGACGGGTTGTTTATTGCCAGCTTGGCCTACGACTTGTTCTCGATGACAACAGGCGATCAAGACTCATCCTTCTGGAAGAGAATCTGGAGGGTTCATGTTCCGGAGCGACTAAGAGTCTTCATTTGGCATTGTTTGCAATTACAGGCACTTGACTCAAGACGACAAGTGCCATGAGTGCAAAGACATACCAGAGACCAATCAACACTGCTTATAGGACTGCGTCATTGTCAAGTCAGTTCGGCTAGAAATCATTCCTCAAGCTCAACAACAACAACTCTTTAGTCTTAACTACTTAAGCTGGCTGAAGTGCAACCTCAAAGACGAGTCGCAAGGAAGCTGTATAAGAGACTAGGCTAGCTACTTCAGCCTCCTATGGTACATATGGAAAAACAGAAATGAAAATATGTTCAAGAACAAAAAGCTCACTACCTCTTCTCTCATTGACTATGTTACTACCAAAGGCAGGGAATGGGCCAAGGCGTGGACGAATGCCAAATTACAGATCGACTTCAAACCTCCTTTGCCCAGGACTGAAGCACTCATCGGATGGAAGCCGCCAGCTTCAGGTTGGATGAAGCTCAATACGGATGGAGCTGCTCGGATGAACTCCGGAGTTGCAACGACGGGAGGAATCTTAAGAAATAGCTTTGGGGATTGGAGAGGTGGCTTTTGAAGCAAACTTGGGACTGAGACCACGTTGATGGCGGAGCTTTGGGGAAAATACTAGGGTGTCCTCCAAGCCTGGAAGAAAGGGTGCCAGTTTCTCATTATAGAATCGGACTCCCATCTCGCTCTAGATCTGGTTGAGAAACGTACAGATCATGTTTATATTTATGCCACTCTTTTAGGATCGATTCGCAGGACTCTTGCTCAAGAGTGGGTGGTTCAACTAGTGCATACGTATCGCGAAGGGAATAAAGCCACGAACTGACTCTCGAAGCACAGTCTCGTCTATCCCTTCGATATGTGTGAACTTGATGAGCCTCCATCGGACTTGGGTCGTTTAATCAGCGAGAATGTGATAGGAGTAGGGCTGTTAATGAGCCGAGTCGAGCCGAGCTTTGCCATAGTTCGGGCTCGGCTCGTTAATATATTTCCAGGCTCGAGCTCGGCTCGTGTTCGTCACGAGCTTTAATATGCAAGCTCGAGCTCGGCTCGTTTATGAAAATGAAAGCTCGAGCTCGGCTCGTCAATTAAGCTTAACGAGCCCAAAATCGAGTTCGACTCATAAAATGTTCATGATAGCTCAAGATTGACCTAGAACTACGCACAAAATTACATTTAAATCTGTAGCAAAGTAAAACACAATATTTATCCCAATTTCAATACATAAAATCCATGAATTCTAATTCTTTTTTATGCCAAACCATTAAATGAGCTTGTTCGCGAGCTTTCGAGCTGAACATGGTATGGCTCGAGTTCGGCTCGTTTAGTTAACGAGCTTGTTCGCGAGCCGGTTCGATTAAAACAAATCGAGTATCAAACGAGTTTTTCTCGAATCGCACACCGAGCCGTTCATGAGCGGCTTGGTTCATAATGAGAAACTGTCACCCTTTCCTCCAGGCTGAGTTTTTCAAGGAAGCTGAGTTTTTCTCTTGTTTAAATTGTTTGGCCCATTCTGTATCTTTTGGTACTTGCAGCAGATTCAGGGGTGAGTACCTGATCGTGGCCATCTTGACCTTTCCTGTAATCCTTTAGGCTGATTCTTGCCTCCTCTTAATAAATAGATACAAATTCAATCTACCATACAATTAATGAATCGCCCTGTTGCAGAACCTAGACCAATAATTAACTAGCATCTAGCATGGGGAAAGATAGAATCAACCATTTAACATTACAAATCACATGGACAATAGGGATCATGTAAGCTTAATTAAGAGAACGGATCATCATGACGTGTTATTCCTTAGTTTCACCTAGCTAATCCACCATTCTTGCCCTAATTAATGACCCCTCTTCCCTCTTCTCATTATAATTATTAATAAATATCCAATATTTCTCCCTTTTCGTCACCCGTGCTTATAAGAATTGTCCCCCTCCGCTTAAATGATGCTGAGATGATCCATCCACCGTAGTTGATCGCGCGATGGATCATCCATTTCTGCGGCCAATCCTCAAGGAAGAATCGACGACGGGCCCGCCTTTGGCGAGCCCCGCAGCGAAGAGCTTGGCAATCTCCAACTGGGTATTGGCCACGATCTCAGTTCTCTTCAAATCCATCTCTCCTCTCTTCGCCTCCGCTTCCATCCTCATCTTCTCGATCTCCCTCGCCGTATCCATCCTCGCCTGCTCCGACCTCACCACCACCTCCGCCAGCCACCTTATGCTCTCCGCCATCCCCCACTCCGATCTCGTCGTCCTCCTTGCTCCGCCGCCACCGGCTGACGACTTCCTCTTCATCTTCACCCGCTTCCCGAACTTGTTATTCTTCCTCTGCTTCTCATCATCACTGTGCACCAGCGCCGGAGTGCTGCTGTCTGAGTCCTCCTCCGCAGCCGCTGCGCTCATGTCCGTGTTCCTCTCTGAAGCATGACCCGCCGAGTATTTGCCGCCGTCCGGTGCTCCATGATGATCTTCCTCCTGTGAATCAAAAACCATACAAGCTTTTAGACTGTTTAGGGACTAGTGGAAAATTTAATATTGGTTTTACATTATTCTCTTGCTCTTTTACGGTAGTGCTATGCATTAATCAAGTGGCTGCTGCCTTTATAATAAAATAAAATGTCCAAGTTCGGATTCTTCAACCTTATATACGTACACATCTGTAATGGCTCCAGTAAATTCCGTGAGGTAAAAAGAGAAATTTAACTGACCTTTCCACCTACTCCGTCCACACCAGTGGGCCCGTGCGAGTTCTGAGCCGCGGCCCCGATCGTCGCCGGCGGAGGAGGAACCATCTGCAGCGAAGGAATCGCTAGTGATGGCTGTGGTGGCGGAGGAGGAGGCGCCGGTTGCGGTTGTACTACTTGTACGGCCGGTAACAGTGCAGGCGACGGCCCCATCAACAGCAGTGGAGGAGGATGGTGGCGCTGCTGTCGTGGCGACGGCAGCATCGCAGGTGGTGGAGCAGCCGCACCTGAAGCAGCAGCACCGGCGCCGCGCAACAGGTGATGGAGGCGGTGGTAAAGCGGCCAGGAGGAAGAAGAGGCGTCGGTTGCCGCGGCGGAGGATTCGGATCGGTAGCGCTTCTTCATGGACTCGATCTTGTTCTTGCATTGGGTCTGGGTCTTGGGGGACTTGGTGGAGTTGGCTCGGGAAGACACGAACCTGGCCACGTCTTCCCAGTCCTGGCCCTTCAGCTTGGCTCGGTTGCGGAGCACCCACTTGCTCTCGTACGCCTCCAGCAAGCTCGACACCGCACCTTCGCTCCACTCGTCTCTTTTTAGCCTGTCTCCTCCGCCGGGGTGCGGCCTTCTCGGCGATTCTTCCTGCTCTTTGTCCATGGATCGCCTCTCTCCAGTCTCTTCCATGGCGCTGTAACTAGGCCTGTTTGTGTGTTTGAGCTCTGTTTTAGCTCCTAACAGTTTTGCAACCCATCAGGCCAAGTTTGAAGGAGGAAAAGGCGAGAGGGCAGGGGAGGGAAGAGAATAGAACCACTAGCAGCGTATTGGGTGGTAGAGTGGAGAAAGGCATAAAAAGGAAATGGTAGTGGCCAACCGAATGAAGGGAAAGATAGAGGGAAGAAGATTTTGGGCTTTGGGTGAGTCTGAGTCATCACCATTGGAATCAAATTAAGAGAGAGAGAGAGGAGCACTAGCATGTAGATGGAAGGCTAGGTAGGACTTAGCAGTAGCTTGCTAGAAAATGGGGATGGCTAGTGGAGCAAACCACGACAGGGGGGATAAAGGAAAGCGGTATGTATGCTTTTGTCAAATGGGTTAATGATAGTTACCTCTTGCAACTTTTTGCCCTTGAGATCAATGGTGGTGGTTTGGTCTCATTCTCATATGCCTGTATGTATGTGTACTGCTGCGGTTGGCTTCTTTTGGCTGTTAGCGTTGATGCGAAGCCAACTTAGAAAAAAGCGAAAGGAGGAGATGGTGCCGGTGGTCGGGCCGCGGCTGCTGCTGGTGGTGCTGCTGGCGGTGGAGGTGGTGGTGGGTCAATCAATCACGTGGGTCTGTCACCCACTCTGCGTGTTAAACAGCTGAACCTGCGGAGAGAAAACAATCACATTCACCTTCTGTATTAGTCTTAGCGCATTTAGCTAATTACAGAAAACTATATCCACCATCCATTCTTTGCCATTACCTCGAAAGCCTTCTTTCCAGCAAAAAAAAACAACCCTTTCTCGCCTTCGCATCGGCGGCAAGCTAAACCCTATTACACTTCTGAACCTGCACTCCACCACTGTTCATATGCTGCCATTGTTAAGGATCTGAATTGGGATCAACCCTTCAGGGACCTCGAACCTGCCTGCACTCCATATATAAGATCATCAGGTTTTATACTTCAATCAGGAATACAAGCTAGTACCAAGATAATCCAACATGGTCTATGGGATGGATACACATCTGCGAAGTAAATGAAACTCCAAAGCAGCCTGGTGAAGGAAGTCTTTAATTCTGGAGAAATTTATAATGCTGGCATGGGGATCATGGGTTGGTTACCAAGTATATCTCTTGCCAATTCATACTCATCATCGTCAGTGGTTGGTGACAATCATCGCATTCCTCTCATACTCCAACGCAAGCTGTGGAGATAAGTTTATAAGAAGCGTAAAATCCATTGTTTCAAATGCACGCTCGACATAGAGAGAATGGATGGATCACTTGGATGGACTAAGATCATCTGGAAACTTTAGGGAACAATAGAACAAACTTGACTGTAGGCAATTAACAGAAAGCATTGATCTTGTTGTTAACATAACTTCAACCAAGACAAAACACTTGATGACACTAAAGCCATACCCACTCTGGCTAGACTACTTATCCACAGTACAGTGCACAAGGAAAACTAGAAGACCTTAGGAGTTGCAGTAAGGTAGCACATTAAAACAAAGTCCAGAAAGATTGGAGTATAGTCATTGAGAAATGCAATTGAACTGATACGAAAGCAATCGGACCCAGAACACACATCCTACAAAGAGATGCAAGCACCCTCCAGTCGGTTCTCGATAACCAACAAGGAGAGCTAATATTGTGGTAGAAAGAGTAAATGGAAGATTGAGAACCCAACCAGCAAATATGCTTAAACTGAAACACCTACAAGAATGTTCACAAACAATCAGTGGCTTACAACCTCGTCTGCCAGTAAAGTACTAACGCACAACTGATTACACACTAAGTTAATACAATACTACCATTCTGGTGCCTGACACCAGAGAACCCATTGACTCCGAAGTACAAAAAGATCCATGAATGATTGAGGTGACATAACTTCCTACTACTCAACCAATATAGTGCAGTCAGTCATTATGCATCATGGAATTCAATAGAATGATGAACCAAGCAGTAGCAACAAGTACTTCTGCCAAATGGCGTCATAATCATCATAGCCAGGAAGGCAGACATAATTCATCAAAGAATAAACTATCAAACATCACGGCATCCCCCTGTACGCGATCCAACTGCCTATCGTTCAAGACTTCTCAAGAGCCTTGTACATAATAGTTCAGTCGCATTGGGGAAAAGGGAAGTCGGAGGAATACCATTTCGAGTTCTTGGGCCACCAAAATACAGGGGTACATTAAGTCCTTTCTCCCCTTACCAGCAGCTCCTCCTGTATTTCCTCCGCCGTCGTTTTCTTTTTCGGCAACCGGAAAATAAACAATAGACACATTCTAACAACCGAAGTAGATCCGTCGATGACTCGATGTTGGATTTCAGATCTATGTGACGAGAGCGTCGATGCCGAGGGAACCACCGCCTCTTCTTTTTCGAAATCATGTTCCGGCGATCACTGCAGACCTCCAGCTCTCGAACGCTTAGTCTCCCTCCCTCAGTCTCTCTCAATGACTCCTTCCTCTATTAGCCGGGATCCATTCCCGTTACGCATGTTCTCTCCGGCGAGGTGTTTACTTCCCATTTGATAATTTCTTGAGCAGTTCTTTGGGAAAGAGAAAGACCGATTGGGTAGTTTTATGGATGATGCATTATTTATTTACTAGCTTATAATTCGGCCCATTGGCCGGAATGTTTTTATTTGATTATTTATATTTTTATGTTATGTTAAGTCAATCAACCGGTTTAATTTTACTGACAATCCTTCGATCGAGATGATACATAAAGAAAGAATATGTAGGTCTAACATTCAGAGAAATACCATCATCATTTAAGAATATAAAATATAAAATGTATCATTAATTTCATTTTCATAATGATAATTAAGCCATCGTTAAAATACTATTGGTTAGTTGATTGTCAAGAAAGAGGGTATAAAAGCTCAGTGAAATTCCACACGACCATTAGATAGTTTGAAACTAAATCACCTCACAATCCTACATAAGGGTTTAATGCGCTCCATTAATGAACAATATGTCACTAATCAAAAAGAAATGGAGAGTTGTTGATTCAAGTCAACTATATACTAACAACTCAGCTAAGAGGGGATCATCAAAACTTGAGAGCAAATGACAAAATTAGGGTTATCTCCAACATACTAATAGACTCAATCAAAGTAATAATGCACTAAATTACACACTCCTTGTCTATCAGTTCCAGTAGGTTGAATAAAGAATCGACCTGCTTCAATAAATCAATCAATGATTCCTCGTTTTAAGATATAAATAGGTTGTGATAGATGTAAAAATCATAAACATAAAGATCCAATAGCCACCACTCTTCATTGTACAACCAAATTTTTATCTCAAGAGACATATGTTTCAACCAAAAATTCAATTTCGAATCCTCCTTCTGCAACTCCATTATTGATTAAACTCTTTTACTTGCCCAACTTAAATCCCCAACAATAAAACCGCGTGCCAAGAGATACTGAATGATCGATTTTCAAAGGTCGCCTTGTACTGGGAAGTGAAAGGGGCGCAAACTATTGTACGATGGAGGAAATTTTCGAGAAAGTTAGAAAGAGATAAAAACAAAGATAAAAACCACAAAATTTAAATTGAAAAATGCAAAGACACAACACATAGTGACAAAATTAGTTTTTTTCCATGTTAGCCAATTACCAATTTACCTTTAGCAAAAATTAAGGAGAGAGAAAGAATTTTAAAATTGAGAAAATTACATGAAACTCTACTATGAAAATTGAAGTATCAATCACCATAAGAAAACATACGCTATACTTAGTGGGCTTGCTAATCATGATGGAAAGTCCTGCGATTTTCAGAGAGTTTAACTTCGTTTATATTTTGTATTCAAAATGACACAACAAATTTGTTCAGTGTAAATGGTTGTGATTGTTGTCTTTGTTTGAAGAAAACCGGGTTCAAATCCTGATGTTGATATTTTTAATGTGAGATAAATAATTAATTGTAAAGACAAAAATATCCTTCCTACTTTTACTCTCGTTGCAGGAAATTTGAAATAGAGAAAAATACACAAAAGTGTACTATATATTGGATTCTGCATAATTGTTGGGTAAATTATACCTGTGGTCACTCAATTTATTAAAAACTTTCACGTTTGCCACCAAATTTTTTTCTTTTTTTATTGATTACTAATTTTACGTCTCGTTTCGTCAATGATCAATCATCATCCAACTCCGTTAAGTTCATCTTAGATGGCGGTTGACCGTTAAATTACCAATGTGTTAATTAAAAAATATAATTAAAATAATTAAAAACAAATAACAACGGAAGACGACACTGAAAGAATGACGAGTTGGGTCCGCAGGACTGGTTGGAGGGGGATTGAAGCGAATGAATTGGAGCTCTCGAAAGTGGAGTAGTGATCCAAGTTGCAGCTGTAACTGTAAGTAATTGTAAAGACAAAAATATCCTTCCTACTTTTACTCTCGTTGCAGGAAATTTGAAATAGAGAAAAATACACAAAAGTGTACTATATATTGGATTCTGCATAATTGTTGGGTAAATTATACCTGTGGTCACTCAATTTATTAAAAACTTTCACGTTTGCCACCAAATTTTTTTCTTTTTTTATTGATTACTAATTTTACGTCTCGTTTCGTCAATGATCAATCATCATCCAACTCCGTTAAGTTCATCTTAGATGGCGGTTGACCGTTAAATTAACAATGTGTCAATTAAAAAATATAATTAAAATAATTAAAAACAAATAACAACGGAAGACGACACTGAAAGAATGACGAGTTGGGTCCGCAGGACTGGTTGGAGGGGGATTGAAGCGAATGAATTGGAGCTCTCGAAAGTGGAGTAGTGATCCAAGTTGCAGCTGTAACTGTAAGTTTCAGTGAGGACGGTGGAGTGAGTTGTGGAAGTATTAGTGCTAACGGAGGCGCAGAAGATGGATCGGAAGGTGGTGGTCTAATCAGATCATCAAATAATCTCATTCAGGGGAACGAAGGCCAAGCAAAGGTTCCAATTGATAGGAGACCAAATCGAACCTTTATGTATTCACATAAAAAACAAATCGGTGAAAATTATGAATCATACGATAAGAGGAGAGGTGAGTTAAGCTTATATGACTGCTCTATTAACATTATGGTTGATATACAAGCAGCTGCGACAGATGCTTGAGAACAAGATGCATCTTGTGGCTCCTTATCTCCTCGATTGAGCCCAAGAAATAAGAACTAAACAAATACCAAAACATGATGATACAAGAGTACAGGTTGAGAATTGGTGCTTGAGAGGGCGGACTAACGTCCAAAGCTTCACCTTTTACACTATTCCATCCTCTCAACCATTACTTTCCCCACATGAAGTTTAGAAAGAAAAGCCAATGTACTTTTGCTCTTAGCCACGAGGGTGAGAAGCCTTATTTTCAAAAATGCAAAGTGTGGTGTCATGTTCGGCAAAGTTAAGTTGAAGCTAAAAAATTGAGTCATCTTTTGAATAAGTAGGAGCACCACCATGAAGTCCATTGATTTTCACATGTTTTCTTGAGAGTCCCGCGGTGCACAAGTTAAATGTCTAAACCTTTTTAGTTGACAAGGTCCTCATCCGAGAGTTTGTATTGTCACGAAGATATGTAAGTAATGCTTTCTCGACTCCGATCATCTTTAAAAGTGAAACCGATGAACTATAGTGCATACCATTGTGATTGTCTATCAAGTTGTATCGATTTGAGTAGGTTTACTTGAGTACAAGCAAATGCTTAAGTGTGGGGCAGATGATAACACCTAAAATAGGTGTTATTTAGCCCTCATCATCGAGGCGTTTGAGTGCTAAATCTCGTGTCTAGGCGACATATCAAGCTATTTTAGGCCTATTTTTATTCTTAGAGAGAGAAACATCTTGAGAGAGCTTGGAAAATGTCAAATCCATCCAAGTATTAATGAGGAAGGTGCAATCATTCCAAGCATTTCCCTTCTTCTTATTTGTATTTACTTTCTCTCTCTACTTTGACTTGAATCCCTATGGTTGTTTAGGAAGAATGAATCATAGCTTATAGTTTGATTATGGTTCATATGTAAGCATGATTATGAGCCTATTTATCTATGTCTATTGATGTTTGTGCATAAGAATCTCTTGCTTGATTATGATTGGTTTGTTCTTAACCTAGGTGAGAGTTCCATCCCTTCAGAGTGCTTAATCGTCCGTATCAACCTATCTCTAGAGGTAGTCGACCCTAGACAACCATCACATCTCTAGCGGTCTCCCAACCACTTGGTTGGTTGTTTAGTTAGTTAGGTTAGGTTAGTTCTACCCCCGACCTTCCTATTTGATTAGATAGTAGTTCGGAGCGAAGTAATAGTAAGCCTAACGTTTCCTTGGAATATGATCAAGCCATTTTATTATAAGTCTAGCATCTGTGTACTTGTCGTTGTTAGGGTTATAGTAGGTATGCCTCGACTTTAGAAATTTAAAACTCAACCCGAGCGCGTGTCATGTACCAATTACGGATCACCAATCACATCATAAGAATTGTTAACTAAGGCAACCCATATATGATAAGGGGACAGATTATCGACATTCACATAGAGTATTGAGCACGGGAAAATGGAGAATTTTAAGACGCTTGAAGGTGAAAACGTATCTTGTGCACCTATTTGTGATGGATGACACCAGAGTGCCAATGTACACTGTTGTGATAATGACCTAAGGACGATTGCATGTAAATTGAACCAACGTGGGGATAGCAAAACCAACTTCAGCTATTTGGAGATAACAGTGGACAAGTTTGATGTTATAAATAAGTAATTCAATTTATTAGCTACACAAATGAGTCTCAACACAAACTACTATTGCACTTTAATATACAATAAGATAGTGATTATAGCAAATTAATTACAAATTTCAACATATTATATATCTTCCCTTCTACCCATTTTAGGGTAAATACCCTAATATGGCCCAAACTTTGTAGAAATAGACAATTTTTGCCCCAACTTACAATAATGACACAATTGGCCCCAACTTTACAACTAATAGACAGGTTTGGCCTAATTCTATATTTGACCGTTAGTACTAACGGTCAACTCAGTGAACGATTAATGACTCAGCTTGAGATGCTGATGTGGCGGCCACGTGTACTCCACATCAGCCAAATAAATTTTAAACCAAAATTTATTTATTTAACGTAAATAAGGTATAAAAGCCAAAAATAAAATTATTTATTCAGATACATCTTCCCGGCGCCCGTCATTGATTTGACGACCAGCAGCCGGAAGTTTCGAATCCGCCGCCAGCATCGCTTCCGAGCCTGCCGCCATCGTCGCTTCCGAGCCCGCATGCCGTCATCATTGCTTTCAAACCTGCCTCCAGCGTCACTTTACCATCTCCTGACCATTCACCATCCTCTTTCCAAACCGACCACCCTGTAGCCGCGACGACTTGTTGGTCATCCCTCAATCGGCAACGAGTGACAAAAGTGAGGATATAAAATTATCGGAGAAAACCCAAAATAATTGTCTATATTGAGAAACAAGCACGATGGGAATTGAGTGACTTGATGCTCAACTGGTGAATATCAAAGCCAAAATAAAGTTTCAACTGGAGATTACAAACGCAAAAATGACGTTTCAGCTCTACAAAGTGTTTAGCTGTGTGATTACAAACCCCAAAATAACCATTCACAAGCCCTCA